TAGAGAGGGTTTCACCGCTCCGTTGCCAGATGTGTGCGTGGATACTTACCCTGCTCATGTGTATACTTGCCTCGATCCTCCTTCCAAGGCTGGATTCACAGGTAGTGAGTCACGCACCCAGCCTCATTCTTTCTTTCTTTCTTTCTTTTTTTTTTTGTTAAAAAACTTTTAGGTAGGGGGGCTTCCAGTCTTTTACTGGATATACTTAAAAATTTGTATTAACAAATTCTAAAAGAGCCTGTAACACGAGTTTGTTCTCACATAACTGATTCATAATATATCTTCCAAATAGCTTGTTGAGTAGCAGATGTATAATCCAGTGATAGTCATTGTGGCATAGTAGAGCAGGCAAGTGGAAAGCGAAGGGTTTCAATAGTGTATTATAGTTGGAGCATGAACTCTCGTTGCAATTGGCTGACGATTTTCTTTGTGGCATTGACAGGTTTTGCTGCCAGTGCAAAAGATGTTGCTTAAGCATCTGCAACCATATGCCTGGCGTCTAGGCTATAAGCATGAGTGCTGTTACTCACCGAGCCTTAGATGTCTAGAGCTAATGTGAATATCCACAGTCTTTTGTTTTCACATGAATTGCGAATGTCTATCAGCATAGACAGAGATGACCGTCACTGTTCTCACCACTACTCCTATTCAATAGAGTACCGGAAGTCTCTAACCAGAGCATCAGGCAGAAAAAGAAATATGCAGGCTGTATCATCAAATAGGAAATGGAGAGGAGTCAAAACAAAGATTTGTCGCTCTATTTGGCAGACTCAACGGGATGAATATTTCGAAGAGACCTTCCCATCATCTCAGCGCTCATACTCTCCTGAAAGACTGAGGGGTGAGAGCGGACTTCGCAGCAAAGTCTACAGGTGTATACAAGACATGTCTATGTGTCAAAACTCACAAGCTGGATTTCCAATTGATATCTGTTGTCCAATACGACCATAACAACTAGACCTTAAAGCGAGCCGCAAATCAAGAACGAACCTTCTGCGTACTTTAAGCTGAACTGCCATTTGCCGCAATATGTCTACAAGGAGTAGGAAGAAAATACCTAGAGGATACGATACTAACTAGCAGGAAAGGACGTTATAAAGGACCTCTCTTCAACGGCGAACTAGTCAAGCCTGTGCTCAAGTGAAATAATGAGAGGATTACAAACAGATGGAGAAACATTCCATGTTCATGGTTAGGAAGAATCAACATCGTGAAAATGGCCATACTGCCCAAAGTAATTTACAGATTCAATCGCTATCCCCATCAAGCTACCAATGACCTTCTTCACAGAACTGGAAAAAAACACCTTAAACTTCATATGGAACCAAAAGAGAGCCCGCATAGCCAAGTCAATTCTAAGCAAAAAGAACAAAGCGGGAGGCATCACACTACCGGACTTCAAACTATACTACAAGGCTACAGTAATCAAAACAGCATGGTACTGGTACCAAAACAGAGATATAGACCAATGGAACAGAACAGAGGCCTCAGGAGCAACACAACATATCTACCACAATCCGATCTTGACAAACCTGACAAAAACAAGCAATGGGGAAAGGATTCCCTGTTTAATAAATGTGTTGCGGAAACTGGCTAGCCATGTGCAGAAAGCAGGAACCTGGACCCCTTCCTGACACTTTACACTAAAATAACTCCAGATGGATTAAAGACTAAACATATAGACCTTAACACCATAAAAACCCTAGAAGAAAATCTATGCAAAACCATTCAGGACATAGGCGTAGGCAAGGACTTCATGACCAAAACACCATATAAAGCATGTCGACATAAAGCCAAAATAGACAAAGGGACCTAAACAAACCCCACAGCTTCTGCATGCAAAAGAAACAGTCATTAGAGTGAACTGGCAACCAACAGAATGGGCACAAACTTTTGCAGTCTACCCATCTGACAAAGGGCTGATATCCAGAATTTACAAAGAACTACAACAGATTTACAAGAAAAAAAACACAACAAAGCCCATTCAAAGTGGGCAAAGGATATGAACAGACACTTTACAAAAGAAGACATACAGGAGGCCAACAAACATATGAAAAAATGCTCATCATCACTGGTCATTAGAGAAATGCAAATCAAAAACCACATTGAGATACCATCTCACACCAGTTTAGAATGGCGATCATTAAAAAATCTGGAGACAACAGATGCTGGAGAGGATGTGGAGAAATAGGAACACTTTACACTGTTGGTGGGAGTGTAAAATTAATTCAACCATTGTGGAAGACAGTGTGGCGATTCCTCAAGGACCTAAAATAGAAATTCCCATTTGACCCAGCAATCCCATTACTGGGTATATATCCAAAGGATTATAAATCATTCTACTATAAGGACACGTGCACACGAATGTTCATTGCAGCACTGTTTACAATAGCAAAGACCTGGAACCAACCCAAATGCCCATCGATGATAGACTGGATAGGGAAAATGTGGTCACATATACACCATGGAATATTATGCAGCCATCAAAAACGATGAGTTCATGTCCTTTGTAGGGACATGGATGAACTGGAAACCACATTTCTCAGCAAACTGACACAAGAACAGAAAATCAAACACCGCCATGTTCTCACTCATAGGCAGGTGTTGAACAACTGAGAACACATGGACACGGGGAGGGGATACATCACACACTGGGGTCTTTGGGGGAAATGGGGAGGGAGAGTGGGGGGGTGGGGAGTTGGGGAGAGATAGCATGGGGAGAAATGCCAGGCATAGGGGAAGGGGAGGAAGGCAGCAAATTACGCTGCCATGTGTGTACTTATTCAACAATCTTGCATGTTCTTCACATGTACCCCAAAATCTAAGATACAATAAAAAACAAACAAACAAACAAAAAAAACCCAAACGTATTATCACCAAAAAGCTTTTTTTTTTTTTTTTTAAACTTTGCTCTGGGTGATCTAGGACCTGTTTTTTTTTTTTTTTTTTTTGAGACGGAGTTTCGCTCCTGTTACCCAGGCTGGAGTGCAATGGCGCCATCTCGGCTCATCGCAACCTCCGCCTCCTGGGTTCAGGCGATTCTCCTGCCTCAGCCTCCTGAGTAGCTGGGGATTACAGGCACGAGCCGCCATGCCCAGCTAATTTTTTATATTTTTAGTAGAGACGGGGTTTTACCATGTTCATCAGGATGGTCTCGATCTCTTGACCTCGTGATCCACCCGCCTCGGCCTTCCAAAGTGCTGGGATTACAGGCGTGAGCCACCGCGCCCGGCTGAAAGCATCTTTCTTTACAGTGAGTAGCTCAAAGAGTGAGAGGTCTCCAAGTCTGTCTGGGGGCAATAAAAAAGGGCTTTCCTGAAGAGGTAGCATGTAAACAGAGACAGGGTGGGGATTCTATGCAGCGTAACCAAAGTGTGCTTTTAAAAGATTTGAGAATCTTGGCCCAGTTGAGGAACTACCTGTTGAGCCTGTTAGGAGTGTATAGGGCTGGAAGGACACGTAAGACCAGACACATGAACAGCGGTTAGCAGTTCAGGAATTCTGTGTGCCATGTAAGTTTCTAATACTATTTTACTCTAGAGCCATTACAGAGTTCTGGTAACTCTACATTCAGACTAAAGAGACCATTTAAGGCTGTTTAAAGCAAATTCCCAGGAATAAATTCTCAGAACCATCATCCCTCTCTAATCAAGTCTCTCTTGTCAGGCATGGTGCATTAACTCACAGAAGTAATCTTCTTTAAGTCAAACGCACGGTTTGTTTGTTTGTTTGTTTGTTTTTTTTTGAGATGGAGTTTCGCTCTTGTTACCCAGGCTGGAGTGCAATGGCGCGATCTCGGCTCACCGCAACCTCCGCCTCCTGGGTTCAGGCAATTCTCCTGCCTCAGCCTCCTAAGTAGCTGGGATTACAGGCACACGCCACCATGCCCAGCTAATTTTTTTTTTTGCACCTTTTAGTAGAGACGGGGTTTCACCATGTTGACCAGGATGGTCTCGATCTCTTGACCTCGTGATCCACCCGCCTCGGCCTCCCAAAGTGCTGGGATTACAGGCTTGAGCCACCGCGCCCGGCTAAAGGTAGGGAATTCCTAGCCCTCTCAGGTGGGCCATGGGAGGAGGCAGGCCAACAGTTTCTTACGTCCAGGCTCACAGTCGGATAGCTGAGCCTTACATTTCTCCTCTAAGCCTCCACAGTAAACTGGGTTGTTATGAGGCAATGGAAGCGGACGGCTTTTAGCGGCCAAGCGTATCACACAGGGAACTGAATTGCTTATTACCAGAAAGGCTGACCTTTGGAGCTCTGAAGTAAAGAATTTTCGTATCTTTCTTCCCCCACCTCCCCATTCTTTATTTTCCAGCCCTATGCCCCCACCTCCCCCATTCTTTATTTTTCCAGCCCTATGTCCCCCAGGATTCCCTTTTCAGACTTCCTTTCTTCCTCTTCTTTCCCCACTTCGTGGAGTGCCGGCGCGTGGGGCCTGGGCTGCACTGGGCGCGCACCCGGAGCTACTGCTTTGCTAACAATTCCATCCTTCTCTTTCCGTCGTTCCCTGCCAGGCGCTGGGTTTTTCCCTCCCTCTCGGCTCCTTCCCTCCCGTGGCTCGTCCGTGGGAGGGCGTCTCCAGGAACTCCAGGCGGACGCGACCACGAGTCTCTGCCACGTCTCCGCCAACAGTCCAGCGCCTGCGTGGAGTCGGGGGGCGGGGGCAGCGCTGGGAGGCGGGACCTGCGCGTGAGCGGCGCTTGAGCAGTCCAATGGGGCCTACCGGCGGCGGCGCGCTGCGCGCCGGGGGGCGGGGCCTGGCGGCGGTTGCTGGCTGAGCCCGAGCGGCAGTGAAGGCTGTCGTTGCCTGGGCCGTCGCATCCCAGAGGGAGTCGTGTCGGTACCACCCCAGCCTCCCAGCCCGCGGATTGCCCACCGAGGCTCGTGTGTGCACCCCCCGATCCCGCCAGCCGCTAGCCCCTGGCCTTGCGGGACGTGTCTCCGGCATCATGTGTGGTAAGGGGGCCGGGGGCGGGGGGCGTGTTGCCGGGCGGCGCTGGGGTGCTGTGCGGGCGCCCCTGAGGCCCGAGGCTACGGGCGGAAGCGGGAGTGCGGAGGGTGCGAAGTCTGGGTGATGGGCAGGGGGCGTCCCGTGGTGGCTGCGCGGGGCAGGGGCCGGCATCCGCGGGCGGGAGAGTGGGTGGCGGCCGGGAGAAGGGCACCTGAGAGGAAGGCGGGCCCCCTTCGCCGGAGGCCAGCGGGAGCCTTTCCGCGGAGAAGGAACCGGGTGAGGAGAGAAACGGTTTTATTGAAAAAGGAGGAGAGGGCTGAGGGAATTGAGATGTGGAGGGGGGTGCCTTCAAAAGGGCCGACCAGGTGAGTGAGGCAACCTGTGGAACATCGGGCCAGGTCTCTTGAACTTATCTTGTATTTTTCTAGGATTTACCTTTCAAAAAATAATCTGTTTTTACTGTTTTTGGGCAGGCCCAATAGAAAACAGACCCTAGCTAGAGCCACGATAGTGGCATTAAACGTGGTCTTACTTCCTACCATCCCTTGTCTCAACAGAAACCATTGCTAATCAATAACTTGGTTAATGGGCTTAGACCTGATCCTCTGGTGGAAGAGGCCTGGAGATGTCTGCGGCGATACATCATTTATCATTTGCATGTGCACCCATTAAAAGTACCCGCTATGAAAAATATATCTCTTGGATGTATACTCTTTATAATACCAACTATGAAAAATATTTATCATTTATCCCTTGCATGTGTACCCATCAAAAATACTAGCTATGGAAAGTTTAACAAGTATCTTTCCTACAGCAGTTAAAAAATTAAAGTTAGGCTCTTATGTTTTGACAGTCGTTTTTATTATTACCTAAGTGTTAGTGAAAGAGATTGTGAGAATCGTGTCTGACATGACTGATGTCCTCTAAAATTGGTATTAACTTGGCTATTGCCAGTAAAAATAATTGTATTCTTACCTTATTGAAATTTACAACCAACTTTATCCATGGAAGAGAGAACACTTTTTTTTTTTTTTTAAGGGAAGTACCATTGTAAGTGAATTAAAACTCTCTGGGAGACTTATTTGCAGCCTTTTGCACGAAGGAACTGAACAGGAGGTGGATTGTACTCATTAAAGTATATATTTCCTGTATTTAACTTTATGCTCATTTCAGCTTCTGAAAATGAGGAGCAGGTTTAAATTTAGAGTAGATTAAAAAAAAACCCACATAAAAACAGAAACACCTATAAATAGCTTACTGAAATTATTAGAGTAGAGCTGACTTCAGAATCAGACTTTTGCAGTGTCTAGTTAGTAGAATGGTTTTGCATTTAGTTTGGAGCTGTGAAATAGTGAATTTGTCAACTGGTCAATCTCCAGTGTGCTTCATTTGTTTGTTAACTGTTTCTGATTGATTAGGTGTGTGCCTCATTAAATATTCGGTACTCTGGTTGCAGGTCATTTCCTTATGTTCCAGAAAAAAAACTGTAAAGTACTTGTTCAAAAAAAAAAAAAGAATCCGGGCATGGTGGCTCACACCTGTAATCCCAGCACTTTGGGAGGCCAAGGCGGGTGAATCACCTAAGGTCGGGAGTTTGAGACCAGCCTGGCCAACATGGTGAAATCCCAGTCTCTGCTAAAAATTCAAAATAACTGGTGTGGTGGCACGTGGCTGTAATCTCAGCTACTTGGGATTGAGGCAGGAGAATTGCTTGAACCTAGGAGGCGGAGGTTGCAGTGAGCTGAGATTGTGTCCAGCCAGGGCAAAAAAGAGCGAAACTCTGTCTCAAAAAAAAAAAAAAAAATAAATAAATACATACATACATACACAAATAAAATCGCATATAGAAATCAGGTTCAGATAAGGGAAATACACCCTTAGCGTGGAAACTACATGTTGGGAGTGTTCACACAGTCTGTGTCTCCATTATACAGAGTTTTACTGCTGAGGAAATGGGTATTGAAGAAATAAAAAGTGAGTATTTGAGACATTTCTGAGGTCCTGCTGTTAAGTCAGACCACAGTTTTGCATGATTCTAGGGATAGGGTTCAGAATTTATTTTCTCTCTAATGTAAATTCTGAAAGAAGATGACTGTCACTATTTTTCACCCACATCTTAATAATTGAACTAAAATTTCTGAGCAGAGAAATGGAGTGAAAATTAGACTAGATGGGAAAATCTGGAAGTTTGCCTTCTGATTAAGTTTTTCTTTTTCAAGACGGGGTCTCACTCTATTGCCCAGGCTGCAGAGCAGCAGCACAATCTTGGCTCACTGCAGCCTCTGTCTCCTGGGTTCAGCCTCCTGAGTAGCTGGGAGTACAGGGGTGTGCCACCACGCCTGGCTAATTTTTGCATTTTTAGTAGAGGTGGTGTTTTACCATGTTGGCCAGGCTGATCTCCTGACCTCAGGTAATCTACCTGCCTCAGCCTCCCAAAGAGCTGTGACTACAGGAGTGAGCCACTGTGCCTGGCTCTAGTCAAATTTTTCTAAAAGATTATTTTATTTCAATGTTGTAAAATGTTCAAACAGAAGAATGAGGATTGAAGATTCTGATAGGCTTTTTTCAATCAGATATACTGATTAAACTGATACAATGTTTACCAACTTGTGTTGGGATGTTAATAAGTGTTAGGAAAAAAGGGTCTATGGTCCAGTAAATTTGGGAAGCAACATGCTAAATAGCATGCTAATGTTTTGTTTTGTTTTTTGATTAGAGGACTTCTTGGAATCTTTAATGTTGTTGTTTTTTTTTTTGAGATGGAGTCTTGCTCTGTCACCAGGCTGGAGTGCAGTGGCGCCATCTCGGCTCACTGCAACCTCCACCTCCTGGTTCAAGCGATTCCCTTGTCCCAGCCTCCTGAGTAGCTGGGACTACAGGTGTGTGCCACCTCTCCTGGCTAATTTTTTGTGTTTTAATAGAGATGATGCGGTTTCACCATGTTGGCCAGGATGGTCTTGATCTCCTGACCCTGTGATCTGTCCGGCTCGGCCTCCCAAAGTGCTGGGATTACAGGCATGAGCCACCACGCCCGGCTAGAATCTTTAATTTATGAATAATAAGCATTGCGAATCTCCCAGAGAAGAAAGGCGTGTCTATTTTCCAAATTTATCTTCCTTTTTTTGGTTGGAATATAGTTCGTCCTTTTTATTTGTATTATTTTTGGTTTTGCTGAGATTGTGTTGAGTTACTTAAACTATCCCTAGCTTTTAACAGATTTTGTTATTGTTATAAATGTGGGGTTATACCCTTCTGATCCAATGGTATATGTAAAATGGAACTTTTGGGTTGGGTCCTGTGGCTCATGCCTGCAGTCCCAGCAATTTGGGAGGCTGAAGCGGATGAATTACCTGAGGTGAGGAGTTTGAGACCAGCCTGACCAACCGCCTGACCAACAGGTGAAGCCCCATCTCTACTAAAAATACAAAAAAATTAGCTGGGCGTGGTGGCACACGCATGTAATCCCAGCTACTTGAGAGTCTGGGGCAGGAGAATCACTTGAACCTGGGAGGCAGAGGTGGTGGTGAGCTGAGATGGTGCCACTGGACTCCAGCCTGGGTGACAAGAGTTGAGACTCTGTCTCAAATAAATAAAATAAAATAAAATAAATGGAATTTTTGCAAATGAGATCCTTTTTAAAAGCAGTAAGGGAACTTGCAATTTTAAAGTGTCCTGAAATAAATTTTGCAAACGTTTTTTGTAATTATACTGTCTAATGGCTTTAGGGATAATTGAGGGATGCTGAGATTGGCTGCTAGGATTGGTCATAAAAGCAGTACTATTAACATCTCCTTAGAAGTCATACTGGATATGAAGAAGTTGTGAGAGAAAATAATTGCTTAATAAGCATTTCTTCAATTGTGTTCCCTGGAAATGGAAGTTAATAGGTTCTGGTAATGAGCACTAGAAGGGGGAAAGGGTTTTGTTACACAAGTTTGGGAAATTCTGCTCTTGGAGATGAACAATTAGCAAGATTAAAGGTTCTAGAAAGTTCTAAATATATACCTAACTTTAACCAGGTATTTCTTAAACCTTTAATTATGAAACCTTTCTTCATTCCTTTTTAGCATCCTGTGAAATATCTTTTTGTTTCTGTGGTTTGGGAATTTTTTGACCATATATTTCAAGTGCCTAGAAAGTGTTAGAAGATACTTGCAGGTATTTGAAATGATGGCTTTATACTTGGCACTCTGCCCTTTTCAGAGATGACTAAAGTAAAAGAGTTGCTTTCAAGGAATTGCTGCCTGATCAGAGGAAAGAAAATTAATGCACATGCAGCAGCTTCAGATGAAAATACACAGTCCTTGTTCATTGCCATGTCATAGATCACAACTGGAATGAATAGAAGTTTAGAGACTGGAGAGCTCTGGGCTTTGGGTATCTGCATTAGGTCAGGAATGTTCTGGGTGATGGGGCAGGACTCTTACTTTGAGGAATAATGCCAGCTTGTAGAGAATTAGCATACTGTGAGAGATAATCATTGATGGCTTCTGTTACCCATCAGTGAATGGAGGCAGAAGTAGGTTGAGAACTACTACCAGAGGGGTGGAAGGAGGAAAGTGCCAGGAAAGTAGACCAAAGAATAGTGGTTAAAGGCAAAAGAGTTCCAAAGTAGTATATTGCCTTGGACAGAGTCTGTAAAAGTAGAAAAAGGTCATTCGTATATAATGCTTCCGAGAAGTTAATTGGATATGGTTATGAAGAAATCATTAGAGAATGCGTATGTCAAGGCAGAAGGGTCTCAGTTTGTGTTTAGGAGGAGGGCTGCAAGTAATACCAAAAAGAAGACGGAGTGTTTTGGAATTGAAGTTCCCTGGGAGTGTTGAGAAGTTGGATTCTAGAACTGTGGTTCCTGGCCTACAAGCCCTGAAGTTGTTACAGGGTGTCCATTGCTTATTCATACGCTTATAACTTTGTCTATAAGTTGAATGAAAATTGTTCTGTATCACTGAATAGTAAAAATTTAACCCATTATTGTGAAGGAGTCTCAGAATATTTTGATGTTAACAAAAGCGTTCTGTATTCACAAAGTTGGAGAAATACTCATCAAGAGTTGTAAGTAAGGCTGGGAGCAGTGGCTCACACCTGTAATCCCAGCATTTTGGGAGGCCGAGGCGGGCGGATCACTTGAGTTCAGGAGTTCGAGACCAGCCTCACCAACATAGCAAAACCCCATCTCTACTAAAAATACAAAAGTTAGCTGAGTGTGGTGGTGCCCACCTGTAGTCCTATCTACTCAGAAGACTGAGGTGGGAGCATTGAGCTCAGGAGTTTCAGGCTGCAGTGAGCTATAATTGTGATGCTGCACTCCAGCCTGGGTACTAGGCGACAGTGCAGGTCTGTCTCTTAAAAAAAAAAGTTATAAGCAGGGGAGAGGCTAGCTTCAGAGAGTAGTGTGTGGAGTATGTCTCCCTTGAGCTTATAAGGAATAAGAAGTAATTCGTATATATGCTGTTAAACTGTTGAAAAGATGATGGATGAGGGGCAGGGACTCACGCTTGTAAACTCAGCACTTTGGGATGCTGAGGTGGGAGGATCTTGGAGTTTGAGGCCAGCCTTGGACAGCATAGTGAGATCTTGTCTCTATATTTTAAAAACAAAAAAAGAAAATGAAGACTTTAATTCTGGCTGGGTACAGTGGCTCACGTCTGTAATCGCAGCACTTTGGGAGGCTGAGGGAGGCAGATCACCTGAAGTCAGGAGTTTGAGACCAGCCTAGCCAACATGTTGAAACCCTGTCTCTACTAAAAATATAAAAATTAGCCAGGAGTGGTAATAGACGCCTGTAATCCTAGCTACTACTTGGGAGGCTGAGGTGGGAGAATTGCACTGCCACGCCTGGCCAATTTTTTTATTTTTAGTAGTAGTGGCAGGGTTTCACCATGTTGGCTAGGCTGTTCTTGGTCTCCTGACCTCAGGTGATCTACCTGCCTCAGCTTCCCAAAATTGGGATTACAGGTGTGAGCCACTGCACCGACCCACATTTGTATTAAAGTATTGTTTTAGAAAAGATATGTGTTCTGTATATCTTCTTTTAATGACCTGGTTAAAATATGAACTGATAGTTATCTGTTGGTATTTAATCTTTCTCAAAGATCAGTGACCCATGGGTGGGGAGTGCAGAACACATAAAAGTTTGACAATTGGGTTACTGGTTTATTCATATTACAGATCACTTTGTGAATGAACAGCAGTAGCAACAAAAACCCCAGACTCATTCTTCTGAATTTAACGGGTAGACATTGGTCTTGGGACTCTTCTACTGCCCTCTAGTGTTTATCATGAGTAGCCATTGAAAGTTTGAAACTGCACTTGGCTGTGTGCCGCTACCACTCTTACCTTAGAAATATCCTTAAGCAGCATGTTGTTTATCCTTATCTTTTTTTTTTTTTTTTTTGAGATGGAGTTTCGCTCTTGTTACTCAGGCTGGAGTGCAATGGCGCAATCTCGGCTCACCGCAACCTCCGCCTCCTGGGTTCAGGCAATTCTCCTGCCTCAGCCTTCTGAGTAGCTGGTATTACAGGCACGTGCCAACATGCTCAGCTAATTTTTTGTATTTTTAGTAGAGACGGGGTTTCACCATGTTGACTAGGATGGTCTCGATCTCTTGACCTCGTGATCCACCCGCCTCAGCCTCCCAAAGTGCTGGGATTACAGGCTTGAGCCACCGCACCTGGCCATTTATCCTTATCTTAATTGCTGTGTTTTGAGGTTAGGAATGGTATTTGTGGGTATCTCTGGGATATTGGTTAACTCAATTTCTGTTTTTGAATTACGAAAGATAGATGTTCTACCCTCCCTTATGGGGTGCTGGTACTGTGAAAGTAAAATGACTGTCCATTACAGGAAAGCTTAAAAAATATAAATTTAAGGGGTGTGTGTGTGTTTGAGATGGAGTCTCACTCTGTCATGCAGGCTGGAGTGTAGTGGTGCAGTCTTGGCTCACTGCAATCTCTGTCTCCCTGGTTCAAGTGATTCTCCTGCCTCAGCCTCCTGAGTAGCTGTGATTACAGGTGTGTGCCACCACACCCCGCTAATTTTTTGTATTTTTAGTAGTGATGGGGTTTTACCATGTTGGTCAGGTTGGTCTCTAACTCCTGACCTTGTGATCCACCTGCCTTGGCTTCCGAAAGTGCTGGGGTTACAGGTGTGAGCCACTGTACCTGGCCGTGGTTTTTAAAAAATATCTGAATGAAATACAGGATTTCTATAAGTCTTTGGCCTGGAACTACTTCTTTGTGGAGCGTTGAACCTGTTGTTTCGGATTGTTTTGGATTTTAATGTGTGAGTTTCTCTTTTTTTAGGGTGTGATAATATATTTGAGAAAATTGCAGTGTGTTGATCATGGTGACCAGCATATATGTTATGATGGCTTTTCTGTTGGGTATCAACAACGCAGCATTTTTGTATGTTGAAATGTTTCAGTAGGAAACATTTCACACTCTATAGAAGTAAAGACTTAGATGGAAATGAAGACTAGTCATTTGGGAGTTCTCTCTCACAGAATTAATTTAAACTTCTTATGAATCAGTAGAATTACAGTGAAAGGAAAGTTAAGAAAAAGGGAAGTTTTAAAATAAGCAACTTGAACTTGTATTTTTATATATTTTAGTCTTCAGTTTTGTTACATTGTAGCTGCTCTGGCCAAAGCTCAGCCATGGAAAACCTCAGATACTGTCCATGCTGCAATTGCTAAAAGTGTGGATTTCCCTTACCTGTGTTCTGTTATTTCTTTTCAGTTCACATTATATTAATTCTTTTATTTCTAGTTTTGTTTTTCCAAATGGTTGTTCTTTTTCTATGAATTTTCAAGAGTTATTAACATGTTGTTGTCTTTTGGTAATATTTGATGAACAAGTGATTCAAACAGTTATCTTTTAAGATAGTTATAAATTTGGTCAGTTTTTACTATTTTTAAAATTATTTAAGTTGTATTATTCACATCATCTATTATTTGAAGTAAGCAAAATTAATCTCATTGGTATAGATTTTAGGGCCTATATGTTGCTTAAAATACTTCAGAATTTTTTTTTCTTGAAACCAAATGCTTCGTATATAGGACATAAACCATGAATTTGCAAATTGGTTTTTTAAAAACATTAAATTTCACTTGACAAAATGTCAGTCATGGAAAATAAGTAGCCAGCTTTATAAGCTTCTTTGAAAAAATTATAAACATGTATTTTGACATGTTTAGTTTTTTATACTTATGAGAAATTCCTCCTTGAAAAAATTCCATTACCTTTAAACGGTTTGAAATGTTGTTTGAAAGATGGAATCTAACTTCACATTTTTTCACATACTTGACATAATTATGCTAATTTTGATTTTTAAATCAGAAATTTTCATTAAATATTTGTTTACTTGCAGGTATATTTGCTTACTTAAACTACCATGTTCCTCGAACGAGACGAGAAATCTTGGAGACCCTAATCAAAGGCCTTCAGAGACTGGAGTATAGAGGATATGATTCTGCTGGTACTTCCTTTTAAAAAATTACTATGGATTTTGCATGATTCTTTAAGCAGAGATTTTTTTTAGGAAATTATTATTAGGAGACTAGATTCTTATTAGGAGACTAGATTCTCCTCTTATTAGGAGACTAGATTCTTATTAAAGTCTCTTTTGTTTTGAATAAGCGTAAATCGGAAGAATTTTTGTCTTTTATCATGTTTAAAGATTTATTCATGTAACCTCAACAGTGTTACCATTTATGTGGAGTATTGCTTCTTACAGTGACCTTCTATTACGAATACTACTATAAAAACATCATATGGGGCATTATTATGATGAAACAAACTTCATGAAGGTCTTACTTTCTAAATTCGTTTTTCTTTCCTATAACTTTAATTTTTCTTCACTGATTTCATGCTTTGGCATATAAACTTGCCTCAGATTCATTTTTCTTATTTTTCTTATTTATTTTTGAGACAGGGTCTCACTATGTCACCCAAGCTGGAGTATAGTGGTGCAGTTATAGCTCACTGCAGTCTCAAACTTCTGAAGCTCAAGCAATCCTCTCTCCCCAGTCCTAAGTAGCTAGGATCATAGCTGTGCACCACCATGCCCAGCTAATATTTAAAAAGTTTTTGTAGCGATGAGAGTCTCACTATGTTGCCCAGGCTGGTCTCAAACTCCTGGCCTCAAGTGATCCTCCTGCTTTGGCTTCTCAAAGTGCTGGAATTACAGGAAAGCCGCTGATTCCAGCCTCTTTCATTTTAAATAAATGACACATAAACATAGCTTTCTGGCAACTTTATATTCTACCCTAGCTCCTTCCTCAACTGTGTCACAGATTCCTAAGACCATCCTTAGATTCATTGATTCCCCAGGAGGACTCACAGGACTCAGCATTTTGTTTTTAATTTTTTTTTTTTTTTTTGAAACAGAGTCTTGTTCTGTTGTCAGGCACCAGGCTGGAGTGCAGTGGCACAATCTCTGTTCACTGCAGTCTCCACCTCCTGCGTTCAAGCAATTCTCCTACCTCAGCCTCCCGAGTAGCTGGGACTACAGGTGCACGCCACCACACCCAGCTAATTTTTTTTTGTTTTTTAGTAGAGGCAGGGTTTCACCATGTTGCCCAGGATGGTCTCAATCTCTTGCCCTCGTGATCGCCCCCCAGGCCTCCCAAAGTGCCGGGATTACAGGTATGAGCTACCGCGCCTGCCCAGCATTTTGTTATACTCATGGCTATGTTTCATTATGGCAAAAGAATACAAAGCACAATAAAGGTGCTTTCTGTGAAGTCTTGAGAAAGCTAGGCACAAGCTGCTTGCTAGTGAATCAGCGCCCAGGGTTTTCACTGGGGGCTGGTCACAGACACCCTCTACCTAGCATGTACCAAAATTCTAGACTCTCAGAAGAAAAGCAGATGTTCAGCATAAACCACATTGTTTGCACAGTTTGCATAATGAGCCCCTCTTAGTTAGGGTGGTAGAAATCCTTCCAAAAGCAAAGTTTCTAGACACTAATGAAGGGCTTGAAAACAAGCCTTTCTCAGGATAGCAGTTTCACACCTGTGTTACTCTTTTTTTGTACACTTAACATTGCCACATGGAAAGGGCATTTATCTTCCTTGACTTTCCTTAGTAACGGAAAGTCAGTTCCTCAACTCCTTTGTTTTTAAAATTCTTTCCTTCTTTAGCTTCTTTGATAGCACATCTTCTCATTCTCTTCCTAAGATGCTGATTACTTCTTTTCTGTTTGCTTTGGAGGCTACTTTCTTCTACTCAGTGTTTTCTTCTGCTCAAATGTTAATGTTCTTCAAGATTCTTTTTTTTTTTTTTTTGAGATGAGTCCTGCTCTGTCACCCAGGCTGGAGTGCATTGGCACGATCTTGGCTCACCACTGCAACCTTGGCTTACCGCTGCAGCCTTGGCTTACCGTTGCACCTCTGCCTCCTGGGTTCAAGTGATTCTCCTGCCTCAGCCTCTCCGGTAGCTGGGATTACAGGCACAAGCCATGCCCGGCTAATTTTTGTATTTTCAGTAGAGATGAGAGTTCACCATGTTGCCCAGGCTGGTCTTGAACTCCTGACCTCAGGTGATCCATCTGCCTCGGCTTCCCAAACTGCTGGGATTACAGGTGTGAGCCACCACACCCAACCAAGATTCTTTTCTAGGCCCACTTTCCTCATTTTGTGTCTTCTTGTGTGAGCTCTGACTTCATCAGCCTTCTGTTATGTTGGTAACTTCTTTTTTTGTTTCTTTGTTTTCTTTTTGTTTATTTTAATTTTAGTTTTTTTGTGTGTGAGTATGTTGGTGACTTCTTCTTTTTTTTTTTTTTTTTTGAGATGGATTTTCACTTTTGTTGCCCAGGCTGGAGTGCAATGGTGCAATCTTTGCTCACAGCAATCCTCCGCCTCCTGGGTTCAAGCAAGTCTCCTACCTCAGCCTTCTAGTAGCTGGGATTACTGGCATGTGCCACCAGACTTGGCTAATTTTGTATTTTTAGTAGAGATGGGGTTTCTTTATGTTGGTCAGGCTGGTCTTGAACTCTCGACCTCCAGTGATCTGCCTGCCTTGGCCTTCCAAAGTGTTGAAATGACAGGCATGAGCCACTGTGCCTGGCCATATTGGTGACTTCTAATCAAGGTGTATTTACCGTGATCCAGTTGTATCTCCCAAGCTGTATTCTAGGCCCCCTAGAAGTTTCTTCCTAGAAAGACCATGATATTTTAAACTTTGCATGTTGAAAAATTGAACTGAGGCCGGGTGTGGTGGCTCACGCCTGTAATCGCAGCACTTTGGGAGGCCAAGGTGGGTGGATCACTTGAGGTAAGGAGTTTGAGACCAGCCTGACCAACATGGTGAAACCCTGTTTCTACTAAAAAAAAAGAAAAAAAAAATTAGCCCCGCATTGTGGCATGCGCCCGTAATCTAAGTTACTCATGAGGCCGAGGCAGGAGAATTGCTTGAACCTGGGAGGCAGAGGTTGTAGTGAGCCGAGATCGTGCCACTGCCCTCCAGCCTGGGCAACAGATCAAGACTCTGTCTCAGAAAAAACAAACAAACCGATACACTGCAGTCCTCACCCAACTCCGCACTCTGTTTCTTGTTTGTTTTTGAGATGGAGTCATGCTCTTTCGCCCAGGCTGGAGTACAATGGTGTGATCTCAGCTCACTGCAACCTCTACCTTCTGGGTTCAAGCCATTCTTCTGCCTCAGCCTCCGATTATCTGGGATTACAGGCATGCCCAGTCTGTTTTTTTATGTCCCTTTTATTAAGAATCATTCAACAAGCCTTTTGAGCCATTCTACAAGTCCTTCGAGGTATTCCAGACTTCTCCTGCCTTCTCATTTATATTTTCAATTCTGCTTCTCAATATCACTTATCTCTTTCTGCATTACCATTGTTTAGTTCAGGTGCTCTTCATTTTTGCTTTGCTGTAACTATAACTTTTGACAGCTGGTTTCTTCTTTCCATTTCTCTCCCTCTAATTCTTTCTCTACACTGTTTCTAGAAGGACTTTGCTAAACATTTTTGCTGAATGACTTCTCTGCTGACAGGACAAAGTGTTTTCCTAGTATTTTCAGGGTAGCTTTTTCAAATTCCTTAGCAACTTAAGGAGTCTTCTAAGAGATGTGTTCCCTGACTTTCCCTCCTTAGCCACCTTCTCAGGTGGGTGCTTATCTTTTGCATTTCTCCACTGTACTCCAATTGTAACCTGTGGTATTTTTATTATAATTCATAATCATGCTGAATTATTTTTTCCTTGCCTGTCTTCTTGATAGACTTAGAAGTTTGAGGACAGGAATTGAGTTCTTTTTATTTTTGTCTCTAGCAGCTTTCCTGGTTTTTGACACACAGTAGGTTTTCAGTAGATGTTGAATTGATAAATAAGTAGATTATTTAGATGAGTATTTTTTTAATTAAAAATTTTGCCTCGCATTAATAATTTTATCAGTAGCCAGTTTCTAAATCTTGCTCTTTTACTTATGATGTTTTAGGCGTGGGAGTTGATGGAGGCAATGACAAAGATTGGGAAGCCAATGCCTGCAAAATCCAGCTTATTAAGAAGAAAGGAAAAGTTAAGGCACTGGATGAAGAAGTTCACAGTAATGTACTTAGTTTGATTTTTGTCCCACCTCCCCTTCTCTTCCTTTTCCCCTCCCCATTCCCCACAAAGTTACCCCCTCCCCTCATATTTTGAGACCCATTTTAATAATAATGTTCTGTAATATTAAAGGGAGGGAAGAAAAGTAGTTTTGTTACCATCTAACCTGGAAACCATCATTCTCAGCAAACTGACACAAGAGCAGAAAATCAAACACCGCATGTTCTCACTCATAGGCAGGTGTTGAACAATGAGAACACATGGACACAGGGAGGGGAGCACTACACACTGGGGTCCATTGGGGGGAAATGGGGGAGGGACGGTGGGGTGGGGAGGTGGGAAGAGATGGTATGGGGAGAAATGACAGATACAGGTGAGGGGAAGGAAGGCAGCAAACCACACTACCATGTGTGTACCTATGCAACAATCTTGCATGTTCTTCACATGTACCCCAAAACCTAAAATGCAATAAAAAAAATAAATAAATAAAATAAAATGTGCCTGAACCTGAAAAATAATCATTGCAACTAGGGAAGGAAATTAGTTAGGCATATTACCTTTAGTGCAAGCTTCAAATATTAAGTCAAGTAGCTTCAGAGCCACCATTCCTGAGGAAGAGCCTTTCATAGGACAAAAGGTATTTTTAGTGGTGGCCTTATACATGTGTCTTCATTGCTAATTGTCTTCACTTTGGACTAAATGCCTAACTTAGATGTAGTCAATTTGGGCATTGCACCTTTTAGTAGGTCTGATATAATCTGTTAAGTGTCATGTTTTCCCTCACAGTTTTTTTCTCTGGCATAAGGAGTTGTCAGAGATGTATGCCCCATCAAAGAGGATTTACTTCTCAGTATTTAGATCATAACATTATGCTTGCACATTTTATTTTTGCACAAGAAACTTGAAAACAAAGCAAACTTTGAAGTATATTGATTGAAAAAATATTTTTAAAATTCTCCACAAAACCCAGGAAGCAGCAAGTATTTTATGTACCTACTCAAATGAATGCCATCATAATCATTGTGAAAGAGTACAGGTAGAGGAAAATGATGAATTTGGTTTTTTTTTTTCCCACATAAGCCATACAGTTAACTTTGTAGTACTTGTTTAACAAATTAAATCAATACTTATTTTGCCTGTATTGTAGTGTAAGATTAGCTGGGGTAAAGCAGACACCCAAATAACTACATTTCAAAAACAATAATCTAAATATCTACTGTGTGTTCTACATCCTGTGTACCAGGCTGGTTACAGTGAGTTCTGTAGGAAAGAACAGACATTGCTGTGAGATTCAGGGGAGAGTTCCCACAAGTTGACGAGACTGGAAATACATAGAGAATGACTGCTGATTATATTTGGTCAGTGAATATGTGAAGGGAGGACCTTCTGAGTAGAATAGCATAGCTAAAGATAATAATGGGGATGGCAGGTTTGTTGATGGAATGGTAGTAGTTCTTTTTATTTCCATTATTGATGGACAAATATGGGAGGCTAGAAAGGCAGATGTGAGCAGAATCACCATTTTTGAATGTCAGCATATTGAAACGTGCCTCTTCAGCAGTAAACTATTTTTGTTTCTGTTTTTTTCTTTGAGATGGAGTCTTGCTGCAGTGCCCAGGCTGGAGTGCAATGGTGCAATCTTGGCTCACTGCAACCTCCGCCTCCCGGGTTCAAGTGACTCTTCTATCTCAGCCTCCTGAGTAGCTGGAATTACAGGTGCATGCCACCATGCCTGGTGAATTTTCATCTTTTTGGTAGAGATGGGATTTCACCATATTGGCCAGGCTAGTCTTGAACTCCTGACCTCAAGTGATCCACCCACCTTGGCCTCCTAGAGTACTGGGATTACAGGCATGAGCCACTGTACCTGGCCAACTGGTTTATTTTTCAAGTGTAGTTATTGGGGAGTAATCTTTTCTTTCTTTTTAAAGAAGTAATCTTGCTCTGTCACTCAGGCTGGAGTGCAGTGACAGATCTTGGCTTACTGCAACCTATGCCTCCGGTTTAAGCAATTCTCCTGCCTCAGTCTCCTAATTAGCTGGGTTTACAGGCGTGTGCCACCACACTGGGCAAATTTTTGTATTTTTAGTAGAGGTGGGATTTCGCTGTGTTGGCCAGGCTGGTCTTGAACTCCTGACCTCAGGTAATTCACCTTCCTCGGCCTCCCAAAGTGCTAAGATTGTAGGCCTGAGCCACCGCAACTGGCCAACCCCTAGCTAATCTTACCCTACAATAACATGCAAAGTAAGTATTGACTGAATTTACTGTCTATAGATGGAAACTTGCAGATACTGCTGGTGAATTGGTAACTAGTAAATCATTTTAAAGAGCTGTTTGGCAATATCTACATGGGAAATGCCTATACCCTAAAACCAAGCACTTTCACTCTTGGATATGTACTTGAAGGAAACACAGTGAACAAGGTGACATGACAACAAGATTCATTGTTATAAAATTTAGAAATAGCCTAAATGTCTATAAATAAGGGAATGGGATTATATAATAAGTTGTATATACTGGGCGTGGTGACTCATGCCTGTAATCCTAGCCCTTTGGGAGGCCAAGGCAGGTGGATTACCTGAGATCATGAGTTTGAGACCAGCCTGGGCAACATGGTGAAACCCATCTCTACCAAAATACAAAAAGTTAGCCAGGCATGGTGGCGTGGGCCTGTAGTCCAAGCTACTCGGAAAAAAAAAAGTTGTATATGATAGTGAATGACCATATGTAACCTTTGAAAGGAGTGCACTGAATCTGGTTCCTATATGAACATGGATAATTCCTGGCATGTAAAGTATAGGACATTTAAAAACACAAAACAGTACTATTATTTCTGGTCTCATGTTAACATAATCATAGTTTAAAAGGGATGAGTAGTAAGACTATCAACTTGAGAATCCTCTGGGGAGGAAGTGAATGGGATGGGGATATAAAGGAAGTATCAACTGCATTTTTTATGTTTATTTCACGTTTCCCTATACAGCATTGATCTTTTACATTTTAGATCTTAAAAAAATATGTAAAGCACACATGACTAGATGTTTTGTTAACTCTGAGTGTGGGCATTTGGATGTTTGTTATTCCCAGCAAATTTAAATATGTTTGAAGTATTTTTTTAAAAAGGGGAAGATGACATCTGAGAAAAGGCAGGCAGAGGGCAAGGAGCCACAGAGTAGAGGTAGGGTAAGATAGAAGATGCAAATGAGGAAATTATTGAAGCACTGCAGTTCAAGAAGACTAAGGCACAGGCAAGGAGTTAGCCTTTAAAGGAAAGAGTATACTCTAGGAATCAAAGGTAAAATACAAACTAAACAAAGCAGATAGTTACCAAATAAAAGGATAAAAGCTGAGTAAAGTGGAATTGAGGGACTACAGGTATTGAGCCTTAGAATAGTAAAGTTATGAGCTCTCAGGGAACTGGATTGAATTATCAGTTTAATGATTTTTCTTACTATTAGGTAATAATTAGGTCATATTTTTTTTCCTACTAGATATTAGGTAATGTTCCTATGGCAACAGTGAAATAAAGATGTGGTAATTACCATGAATTTGAAATGGATTCAATATACAGAATCTTGTGACTTTCTCCAATATTGCTTGCCAGCATGTGCAGGGAGATACTGCTTTAATTATAGTTAGCTTAAAAAAGTAGTCAAAGAAATGTTTTCATTTCTTGCATTATCCTGTTGAATAATGGTAAACGGTAATCCTTTGGTGGGTGCCTGTAATCCCAGCTACTGGGAGGCTGAGGCAGGAGAATTGCTTGGACAGAGGAGGTGGAGGTTGCAGTGCACCAAGACTGTGCCAGTTCACACCAGCCTGGGCAAAAAGAGTGAAACTCAGTTTCATAAAAATAAAAAAAAGAAAAGAAAAAGAAAAAGAAAAAAACAGTAATCCTTTTCTTGAGGTTATTTATCAGGTTGCCTTAATTATTCGGAATACAGTTAAGGAAAGAATATGTGCATGATTTTATTCACTGATAGATTGAGCCATCCAACAAAAATTTATCTGTAATGTATACCTTTTAGTGCTTAGGATTCAAAAATAATAATGTAGTCTGCTGTTTTTGTAGAATTCAGATTCTAGTGGAAGCCAGGTTGACAACATGTCATAAATGTAATAGTATAACAAAATATACTATTTTATTTATTTATTTATTTATTTATTTATTTACTTTTGAGATGGAGTCTTGCTCTTTCACCCAGGCTGGAGGACAGTGGCGTGATCTTGGCTCACTGCAACCTTCCCTTCTCAGGTTCAAGTGATTCTCCTATCTCAGCCTCCCGAGTAGCTGGCATTACAGTCATGTGCCACCAAGCTGAGCTAATTTTTGTATTTTTAGTAGAGACAGGGTTTCACCATGTTGGCCAGGCTGGTCTTGTACTCCCAACCTCAAGTGATCTACCTGCCTTGGCCTCCCTAAGTGCTAGGATTACAGGCATGAGCTGTGATGCCCAGACAGTTTGCTCTTAATTTAGACCTAATTCTGATAAACTTTGTTATCTGCATTCTTATGAATTTTTTATTTAGGAAATTAAAAGAAGGATATTACTAGTTAATAACTGGAGCTGTCCATTTTTTTTTAAGATGCAGCAAGAAAAGATAGTTTATATGAAAAATAAGTTACTTTTCACAATAAAGAAATACCGGCCTATGCCGATTTCCCAGTAGCCCCATACTTTCATAGCATTGCGCTATTCTCAAATACCTGGTTGATTTAGAGGTACTCCATAATTGCAGTTTATATTGTGAGACACGTGTACATTCACCAGAGACCAAAGAAATTGCAGTAATAAGGTTGTGTGTCATTGGGAAAATGAATTTTTTTACATGTTTAATTAAATTGATAAGGATTTTTTAAAGACAATAATTAAATACAGATTTTAAAAATTACAATAATTGTTTTTGTCCTTAACTTTTGAGTTTTCATGTCTGTAGGAAACTTGAAAGAATAGTGCATTATTACCTATATATACTTCACCTAACTTTATCAGTTATTAACATTTTGTCATGTTTGCTTTAACTTTATAGTAGTTTTTTTGTTGTTATTGAAACCATTTGCCCTCAATATTTGAGTTGCATAAACTCTTAAGTCTTTATTTTTAATTTTTGGGGGTAGATAGTAGATGTATATATTTACTGGATGAATGAGATGTTTTGATACAGGCATATGATACATTCCTAAGTTGCTCAGACTGGAGTTCAGTGGTGTGATCTTAGCTCACTGTAACCTCTGCCTCCTGAATTCAAGCAATTTTCCTGCCTTAGCCTCTGGAGTAACCAGGACTACAGGCATGCACCACCATACCTGGTGAATTTTTGTGGTGGTAGTAGAGATGGGGTTTCCCCATGTTGGCCAGGCTGGTCTCGAACTCCTTCCTCTGGTTATTTGCTTGCCTTGGCCTTCCATAGCACTGGGATTACAGGCATGAGCCACCGTGCCTGGCCTCCTAAATCTTTTAATCACTATTTTGAATATGTCTGATCTTCAGTTTCAATGATTGTATATTTCCAGTGAGCAGCATTGTAATAATTAAATTTAAATACAGCTTATAGCGTTATCTCTGCAGCATGATTTAATACTGAAATTTTTCATTTCCTCTTCTTCAGAGCAACAGGATATGGATTTGGATATAGAATTTGATGTACATCTTGGAATAGCTCATACCCGTTGGGCAACACATGGAGAACCCAATCCTGTCAATAGCCACCCCCAGCGCTCTGATAAAAATAATGGTATGGAAAGATTTTTCCTGCTTTGGAATGATTGTGGAAGCCTAATAATCAGGGCAGAATGAAGGCTCTTAGAGTTTTATTATTTTATTTTTTTTTCATCTGGAAAATTTCAAACGTTCAGAAGTAGTAGAGAGTATATGGAGCTGAGAGTGTTGGCTCATGCCTGTGATCCTAGCACTTTGGGAGGCTGAGGTGGGAGGATTGCTTGAGTCCAGGTGTTCATGATCAGCCCTGGCAACATAGTGAGATCCATGTTTACAAAAAATAAAATTAATTAGGCATGGTGGCTCATGCCTGTAGTCCCAGCTACTTGGGAGGCTGAGGTGGGAGGATTATTTAAGCCCAGGAGGTTGAGGCTGCAGTGAGCCATGGTCAGGTCTCATGCCATTGCTCTCCAACCTGGGGCAACAGAATGAGACCCTGTCTGTCCACCATGCCCAGCTAATTTTTGTGTTTAGAGATGGGGTTTTACTATGTTGGCCAGGCTGGTCTTGAACTTCAGATCCTCCTGCCTTGGCCTCCCAAAGTGCTGGGAATACAGGCATGAGACATTGTGCCTGGCTGAGAATTTTTGTTACTGTTTTTGTCCTTAGGGTATATCTCTGTAGTGTATAATCAAATTACTGTGTTTTAGAGTTACTTGGGATAGTGTTTCTCCATGCAGTTGTTCTATTGGGCTGGATATGTGTTACTTTAATATCTTCATTTTTTAGTTTTTAGTTTTAAGGATTGATACTCTTTTTTTTTTTTTTTTTTGAGATGGAGTTTCGCTCTTGTTACCCAGGCTGGAGTACAAAGGCGCGATCTCGGCTCACCGCAACCTCCGCCTCCTGGGTTCAGGCAATTCTCCTGCCTCAGCCTCCTGAGTAGCTGGGATTACAGGCACGCACCACCATGCCCAGCTAATTTTTTGTATTTTTAGTAGAGACAGGGTTTCACCATGTTGACCAGGATGGTCTCGATCTCCTGACCTCGTGATCCACCCGCCTCGGCCTCCCAAAGTGCTGGGATTATAGGCATGAGCCACCGTGCCCAGCAAGGATTGATATTCTTTAAAAAATAAATGTTATTTACAATTATTTAAAATGTTTACATAATTCTGAAGTTATATCTTTAAAACAAGACATATTAAAATAAGTCTACCCAGCACTTTGAGAGGCTGAGATGGACGGATTGCTTGAGTCCAGGAGTTTGAGACCAGCACGAGCAACATGATTAAACCCCATCCCTAAAGAACATACAAAAATTAGCTGGACAGTGGCATTCACCTATAGTCCCAACTACTTGGGAGGCTGAGGCAGGAGGATCACCTGAGACTGGGGGTTGAGGCTGCAGTGAGCCATTATCGTGCCACTGTACTGCATCCTGGGCGACACAGTAAGACCCTGTCTCAACAACAAAACAAGTCTAGACTCTTCTGTTTCCTCTTATTCTCCTTGTAGATAACGTTAACCAATTTTTTGAGTCTGTTCTTTCATTAAAAAAAAAAAAAAGCAAATACATGCAGAATACATACAAAAGTGTGTATGTGTGTATTTATCCCTCCGCATTTTTTTCCCTTTTATTTTAGTGACAGGGTCTCACTCCTCCACCCAGGCTGGGTATAGTGGTGGGATCATAGCTCCCTGTAATCTCAAATTCTTGGGCACAAGTGATCTTCTTGCCTCAGGCTCCTGAGTAGCTAGGATCACAGGCTTGCACCACCACACCCAGCTATTTTATTTTATTTTTGTACTGATAGGGGTCTTGCTTTGTTGCCAAGGCTGGTTACAAACTCCTGGACTCAAGTAGTCTTTCCACCTCAGCCTCCCAAAGTGCTGAGATTACAGATATGAGCCATTGCACCCAGCCCTTTTTGGTTTTTAATTTAATTCAGAAGGTGCCTATTTAGGCTGCTTGTGCTTCAGTAATTACTATTGAATTTGATTACAATGCTAGCAGTCATTTAGACTTTTGACATAAGGCCTTTATAAAAGATTCCTGAAAACGTACGTCTAGATTATGTTTTGAGAATTTGGCTTTAAGTTAAAGCCTTTTAATTAGTTATTTATGAATCTCTTTGTTCTAGGATTTATATATATATATATATATATATATATATATATTTTTTTTTTTTTTTTGGGAGATGGAGTCTTGCTCTGTTTTACAGGCTAGAGTGCAATGGCATGATTTGGGCTCACTGCAACCTCCGCCTCCCGGATTCAAGTGATTCTTCTGCCTCAAGCTTCCCAAGTAGCTGGGATTATAGGCTCACACCACCACACCTAGCTAACTTTTAAATTTTTAGTAGAGATGAGGTTTCACCATGTTGACCAGGCTGGTCTTGAACTCCCGACCTCAGGTGATCCGCTCGTCTCAGCCTCCCAAAGTGCTGGGATTACAGGCATGAGCCACCACATCCGGCAAGTTTTTTATAAATTTATTTTTTAGTTGCTATCTTCTCAGAAATCTAGTGAAAATGTTTATTATTTGGTTTCTAATTATTGTCAGCCAAAATATCAGATATTTATGTATATTAAGAACATTGTGGGCTCTGGGTGTGGTGGCTCATGCCTGTAATCCCAGCACTTTGGGAGCCTGAGGCATGTGGATCATCTGAGTTAGGAGTTCGAGACCAGCCTGGCCAACATGGCAAAACCCCATCTCTATTAAAAATACAAAAATCAGCAGGGTGTGGTAGCATGCACCTACTTGAGAGGCTGAGCCAGGAGAATCGCTTCAACTTGGGAGGCGGAGGTTGCAGTGAGCCCAGATTGTGCCACTTCACTCCAGTCTGGGTGACAGAGCAGGACTTTGTCTCAAAAAAGAAAAAAACATTTTGACCTTGCATAGTGGCTCATACCTGTAATCCCAAGACACTGGAAGGTTGAAGTGGGAGGATTGCTTCAGCTCAGGAGACTAGCCTGGGCAACATAGTGAGACTCTGTCTCTACAGAAAAATAAAAAAATTAGTTGAGTGTGATCGTGCGTGCCTGTAATCCCAGCTTCTTGGAAGGCTCATGTGGGAGAATCACCTGAGCCCAGGAGGTCAAGGCTGCAGTGAGTCATGATCGAGCTACTGTACTCCAGCTTGGTGACAGAGCAACATCCTGTCTCAAAACAAAAAACAAAAAAAAAAAGCACCAGAATATTTTGATAATTAAAATAAAATTTAGTTTAGCAGTAATTTTCCTCCTAACTGAAATGAACTTTAAATAATAAATCCAGGATTGATAGTTTTTTGTTTTGTTTTGTTTTTATTGCCCAGGCTGGAGTGCAGTGGCGCGATCTCAGCTCACTGCAACGTCTGCTTCCCAGATTCAGGTGATTCTCCTGCCTCAGCCTCCCGAGTAGCCGGGATTACAGGCTTGTGACACCACACTCAGCTAATTTTTTGTATTTTTAGTAGAGAAGGGGTTTTACCATGTTGGCCAGGATGATCTTGAACTCGTGACATCAGGTTATCCACCTGCCTCAGCCTCCCAACGTGCTGGGATTACAGGTGTGAGCCACCATGCCTAGCCGGATTGATAGTTTTTATGTACCATCAGTGGCTACAAATAATAATATTGTCAACTCTTGATTATCTATTCTTACACAGTTTTGAAAGTTAGTTAACTTAAAAAAGATAAAAATTATCCCATAATTATATTTATCTCTTCTTGGAATGATATTTTAACATTATTTTACTGACATTCCATGACTTATCTGGATCTCAAACAAGTAAATTTAACTATAGAACTGATTGTCTGGTTTTTCTTAGCAAGTTCCTTAGTTTTAGTTATTAAACTGATTTAATGTAAATCATATTATTGTTTTAGTTTGAAAGGCCTTCACTTTAAACTTTCACTCTTTTACTCAGTTTGAAGGTTCTTCTTCTTTTTTTTTTTTTTTTTTTTGAGACAGAGTTTCGCTCTTGTTACCCAGGCTGGAGTGCAGTGGCGCGATCTCGGCTCACCACAACCTCCTCCTCCTGGGTTCAGCAATTCTCCTGCCTCAGCCTCCCGAGTAGCTGGGACTATAGGCATGCGCCACCATGCCTGGCTAATTTTTGTATTTTAGTAGAGACGGGGTTTCACCATGTTGACCAGGATGGTCGCGATCTCTTGACCTCGTGATCCACCCACCTCGGCCTCCCAAAGTGCTGGGATTGCAGGCGTGAGCCACCACGCCCGGCCTTGAAGGTTCTTCTTTTTAAACTTATACTCAAGAATGAATTACTATGAATGAATAAGAATAATACTTAGTTCAACTCTCTCATTTTGCAAATGAGGCAACAAACCCAATAAACTTATTCCTTTCACATGGTAACATTTGATTAGTAGTTCAGCCACAACTGCAGTTGTTAGCTCTAGACTTCCTGTTTATTCCCCCACTATACCCACCTCCCCTGCACTGTGTATGCTTTGGCTATGCCACATAAACGATGCTGCTGATCTACCTGACGATATCTGGTAACAAGAAGTAGATGTAATTATCATGTTATAAATAACAAATAGTATAGCATATTATAGATTTTTTGACTTGAGAAAAATCTAGTTATAGCTATTTTAGGTTTATCAGACTTCTAACTTTCTTGTCATCAATACTTTTACCTCTTTTAGAATTTATTGTTATTCACAATGGAATCATCACCAACTACAAAGACTTGAAAAAGTTTTTGGTAAGTAAGGTCATCTCAAAAGACACCAGTCTTTGAGAATACTTCTAGCAAGAGCAGTGAGGTTGGTTATTAGGATGTATAACACCATATAGGTGTCATCAAGTGATTCCTTAGATAATTTCAAGGGCATGATGGTTTATTTGACCTTTCTTTCCTAGCAGTAGAACAATTTTGTTTTTTAATATGAAAAGGAAATAATTAGTATTTGACTGTAATATACATGACAAAAGGCTCGAAATTGGAATTTCGTGGAGACATTTTTTGCATTGTGAGAGACTCTCATGTTTTAAAGTTCTTAGAATATATTAATATAAGAAGAATCAGGACAAACTAAATGAAAGTTATGTTTTAAATATATACTGTATAGTAAGGGTCATAATGCTGACCTGCATGAGTGCTTTCTTAGGGTTGTTCAGTTGAACTTTCTGCAGTGATGGAAGACATAGTGTATCTGGGCTATTCAGTATAGTAGCCACTGTCCATATGTGGCTGTTGAGCTAGTATGACTGAGGAACTGAATTTTATATTTTATTTAATTTTGGTTAAATAGCCACATACAGCTAATGGCTTTTTATTGGACAGTAAGTTAAGTGTATGTTCAGTTACATAGAGTACCACACTGTTTTGGATTCACTCTAGTCAGATGGTGACTTTAATTTTGAATAATGGGGTATGATGTTCAAAAAATAATAGAAATTAGTGATGTTTTTGGGGGTACAACTTTGTAGAAAAGATTTGTATGTTATGAATATTTTCTTAATTATATCTTTTTTTTTCTTTCACTTATAGGAAAGCAAAGGCTATGACTTTGAATCTGAAACAGACACAGAGACAATTGCCAAGCTTGTTAAGTATATGTATGACAATCGGGAAAGTCAAGATATCAGCTTTACTACCTTGGTGGAGAGAGTTATCCAACAACTGGTATTAAGCCACACTTTTAAAGATAATTATGCCTGCAATAATTATGAGTAACTTTCTGAAAATTAAGTTTGATAAGCAGGAACTGTGCTATTCTTTTTGAGTATTTTTGGCTTTTATTTCTCATGTCACTATTCAACTTAAATAATTTTAAGACACTGTTTGGTTTATTGATTCCCCCTACTCTCCACTTAATATTCTACTTACTTCATTCTGATTTAATGTCATGAGAATGAAAAATAATCCAAAATCAAAGTGTGTCTAAAAACTATGCATATATACACACATCCATACACACTGCACATGGATATGTACACAATACACACAATGGAGGATTAGTTATTCCCTTGCTTCCTGTTCATCCCAGTGTTCTCGACCAGTAACTTGGCACAATGATACCTTTCAGTGAAACACAGTTTATATTCTGGGATGATGCCTGCATGTCTTTGAGCCAACTAAGTCAGCTACTTATTTTTCCTTTTGGGAACTTTTCCTTGGCCCTGAACCTCTTTTAAAAAGCATTTATTTCCCAGCCCAAGAGAAAAGCAGTGTTCTTTTTGATTCCATCCAACATTCCTAATTAAAGATATCAAAGCTCTACAGAAGTCTAAGTTCATAGTGATACCTACACCCCTCTTCCCCACTCATAACTCTAGTTTTCCCATTTTAATGCCCAACTAAGGTCCAACCTTCACCCCCCTCCCACCTGCATGCAAATCTTAAATCTGTAGCAAGAAGAGGAAGCAGGAAGATGGAGAATGTAGAGCCCTATTCCTTCCCTTTTACCCAAGGCAGAGTGGAGTAGTGTGCCTTTTCAACCTTTTCTCTTTCTAATAGACTTTACCTTTTATTCGTTGTATAATCCAGTTTGTGTTCCATGGTGGTTCTTCCCTCTCCTATAATGTGTTCCTCTTTTATCTGTTCTTGATTCCTGTAAGCCCTGTCTCTGAGGATCTGGGTTGATGGAGTTGTATGGTATGCATGTTAATAATTCTAATTGTATATATTTATATCTCTTAATATCGAGGTCAGAAAGAGTGGAAGTTAACAGTGGTGTACAATTACTAGGGCAGAGAATAGGTTTTAGATTTTGATCTTGGGATCTTTTCTAATTCTGTCTTTTCTCTGATAATTCATAGTATTATGATAATATAGATAGGTGGATGATGGAGATAGGATCTGCCGGTTGAGAAGTGTTCATAGCATGTACAATGGGTAACTTTTTAAATGATCTGTTTTTGTAGTTGTTATCTATTGATCATATTTTTATTGTAGGTTTGGTTAAAAAAGTAGGTCTTGGATACACTAAAGCTTAGGAGTAATGTTTACTTAAATTTTAGACTTGTTTATAAACTAGCACAAAAGAGCATTTGTGTGAACCAAAAATTTCTGAGCTGGAGCCAGTATGTTCTAGGCATTTTTGATTTATAATTGATTACAGTAAATATTGCTAATACATTTTTTTCCCTCCATAGGAAGGTGCCTTTGCACTCGTATTTAAAAGTGTTCATTTTCCCGGGCAAGCAGTTGGTACAAGGTACATATAACTTTAACAATGACTAATGTATTTCAACATATTTGAGTTACATGTTTATTCTTCATAGACTATAAATGACCCTTTATTACAAAGGCTCTGCCCTCTTTTAGGTATATTCATGTGAGCATATTTTCACATGCTCCTTCTTGTCTGTTGTTTTACCACTCTTCCATTTAACAGAATCCCTTAAGAAAGCAAATACAGGCTGGGGATGGTGGCTCACGCCTGTAATCCTAGCATTTTGGGAGGCTGAGGCAGTTGGATCACCTGAGATCAGGAGTTTGAGACCAGCCAGGTCAACATGGCAAAACCCTGTCTCTACTAAGAATATAAAAATTTGTCGGGCTTGGTGGCACAAACCTGTAATCCCAGCTACTCGGGAGGCTGAGGCAGAATTGCACATGGCTGTAATCCCAGCTACTCAGGATGCAAAGGGAGAATTGCTGAGGCAGAATTAGCAGAGTTACTTTGTGAATTTGGATATTGAATATTACCTAATAAAGTTAAAATATTAGCTTTCTCTGTATTTTTTGAAACATATGTTCTAGACAAATTCCTAGATAATTGTACCATCACTACTTCTTGTTAGGATATTTAGGCCTGATCATGAAGTCCTAAGTGAGGCGCCCTAAGATATAGTAAGAGAGAGAGATTTTTAATCTGAAGACAGGGTGACTAAGGAGAAGGTGCTACACCTTCCTATACTGGCTTTCTGTGCACAATCGAAAGGAAGGTTCCATTTCACATTACAGAGGAAAACAATTAAAATACACTGTTATAGAAGAGGGGTTGGCTAACTTTTTTGGAGTGGGCCAGATAGTAACTATTTTAGGCTTTGTGGGCCATGTAGTCTGTGTAACAACTACTTAATTTGTGGTTGTATTGTGAAAGCAGCTACAGAAAATAAGTAAAAGAGTGGGCATGGCTATGTTCCAAAATAACTATATTTAATACAGTTTTTATTTGTCAATTATAAAAGAATTAAAAAAAAAAAACCCTATATTAGGCTTGGCGTGGTGGCTCATGCCTGTAATTCCAGCATTTTGGGAGGCTGAGATGGGTAGATTGCTTGATCCAAGGAGTTCTAGACCAGCCTGGGCAACATGGCAAAACCCCGTCTCTACCAAAAATAAAAAATTCAGCTGGGTGTGGTGGTGTGTGCTTGTAGACCCAGCTAATCAGGAGGCTGAGGCAAGGGGATCACTTGAGGCCAGTAGGTCAAGGCTGCAATAAGCTGTGATTGTGCCACTGCACTCCAGCCTGGGAGACAGAGCAAGGCCAATCTCAAAAAAACCGACCAAACAAAAACTCTTTATTTATAGAAATAACCCTGGGCTTCAGGTCAGTTTGCTGACCCTGATACAGAATTTTTTTTTTGTTGTTGACACAGGATCTTGCTCTGTCACCCAGGCCAGAGAGCAGTGGTGTGATCTTGCTCACTGCAACCTCCACCTTCCAGGCTCAAGCAGTTCTCCTACCTCAGCCTCCTGAGTAGCTGAGACTATGGGCATGTACCCACCTGGCTGATTTGGAGATGGGGTTTTGCCATGTTGCTCAGACAGGTCTTGAACTCCTGGATTTAACTGATCTGCCTGCCTTGGCCTCCTGAAGTTCTGGGATTACAGGTGTGAGCCACTACATCTGGCCCAGTACAGAGTATGTTTTTTTAAAAAATTCTGTTTATCTAGTTCTTTTTTATATCTGGACTTGAGCTTGGGGGGAGAATTTAAACATTTGAAGAGTATTGGCTCATTAAATTGTATATCATTAGTCCATTATGTATAAAAATGGTTTAATTCTGACTGCTCTTCCAATTACAGGCGAGGCAGCCCTCTGTTGATTGGTGTACGGAGTGAACATAAACTTTCTACTGATCACATTCCTATACTCTACAGAACAGGTAAAATTTCCTCTACAAATGGAGTGCAGTAGTTATGAAGAATTATTTTCCTTAAGTTGGAATAAATTGCCCTTTTGGTCAGATGGACATGTAAATATAGTTCTATCTAGACATGAAAAAGATTTGTTTTTGTGAGTTCTCTGATGATTAGAATTTTTTTCTGTTGTGTATCCTTAGCTAGGACTCAGATTGGATCAAAATTCACACGGTGGGGATCACAGGGAGAAAGAGGTGGGAAATGCACTCTGCATGGATGGGGAAGATCTTATCCTCTTTTGTTTTTTTCTTTACTAATTTTTTTGTTCTTGGAGTGAATGAATGTGCTGGGCCTCTAAAAATGTGCTTATTTTATGGGGAAGCGTATTTTGACATTTTTCTAATTTGCGGAGTATATTTTGTGTGTCTGCTTTTGGCATTTAGAAAAGTGCTTTTGATAATTTCATTAAAATTTCTGAAATTTGAGAAAATAGTTGAAATTCTAAATTGTTTTTTCCTTTGTTTTAAAATCATGTAGGATATATGTTTAGATTAGGAAAAGAGCATTGTGTGCTAGGTTATTTTAGGTTGACTAAGTGGTAGTTATTTGACTCATTTAGCCTAACTTTTAACTGAAATATGTTTAAATGGTCTTTATTTTATGCATGACATGTTACTGTTAGATTTACATTTGCTATCTTGATTGGCTTTATTTGAATTCGTAGTGATTGTTCTTTTATATTGTTTATATGTAAAGTTTATTTTTTGTTTTTCTTATTTATTTACTTGGATGTAACTTTCCATATTGCTTTTTTTACAGAGTGGCTGGGGGAAGACAGGATCTTGTTCTGTTGCCCAGCTGGAGTGCAGTGCAGTGGTGAGGTTATACTTCACTGCAATTTTAAACTCTTGGGCTCAGGCAATCCTCCTGCCTCAGCTTCTCAAATAGCTAGGAATACAAATGTGTGCCATCATGCCCAGGTAATTCTTAGACAGGGTTTTGCTGTCTCAGCCAGGCCGGAGTGCAGTGGCTCAGTAATGGCTCACTGCAGCCTTGACTGCCTGGGCTCAAGTGATTCTCCCACCTCTGCCTCCTGCTGGGACCACAGGCATGTGCCACCAGCCCCACCTAATTTTTTATTTGTAGAGAGGAAGTCTTGCTATGTTGGCCAGGCTATTCTCAAACTCTTGGCCTCAAGGGATCCTCCCACCTCAGCTCTCCAAATTACAGAGATTATAGGAATGGGCCATTGTGCTGGCTCCTAGCTAACTGTAAATTTTTTGTAGAAATGGAGTCTTGCTATGTTGCCCAGGCTGCTCTTGGACTCCTGGACTCTACCTAGCTCAGTCTCTCAAAGTGTTGGTATCACAGGTGTGAGCCACTGTGCCCAGCCCAGAAGTGTTCTTTTCATTTAAACAGACATTGATGCCTCAAATTTTTTTTTAAATTTATTGATTAATTGATTGATTGATTGAAACAGAGTTTCACTCTGTGGCGTGATGTTGGCTCACTGCAACCTCCACCTCCCGGGTTCAAGCAATTCTCATGCCTCAGCCTCCTGAGTAGCTGGGACCACCAGTGCACACCACCACGCCCAGCTAATTTTTGCATTTTTGGTAGAGATGGGGTTTTGCCATTCTGGCCAGGCTAGTCTCGAACTCCTGACCCCAGGTGATTTGCCTGTCTCAGCCTCCCAAAGTGCTGGGATTATAGGCGTGAGCCACTGTGCCCGGCCTCAAATTCTTTTGCATATTTTAATTAAATATACTTTGTTATTTGAAGAATGAAATTATCAATATTTGGAGAAAAAAACACAGTGAAACTCAAGCCTGTTAGGACATTTTATAAGCAAATGTAGTTGCATTTATTTTTAAAAAATGCTGAGCTCTCTTTTTACATGTTTTTTAATTCACTTTTTTGTTTTTATTTTTGAGATAAAGTCTTGCTTTGTCACCCAGGCTGGGGTGCAATGGCATGATCTCAGCTAACTGCAGCCTCTGCCTCCTGGGTTCAAGCAATTCTCCCACCTCAGCCTCCAGAATAGCTGGGACTACAGGCGTGTTCCATCATACACTCAGCTAATTTTTTGTATTTTTAGTGGAGAGGGGGTTTCACCATGTTGGCCAGGCTGGTCTTGAACTCCTGACCTCAAGTAATCCACTCGCCTCAGCCTCCCAAAGTTCTGGGATTACAGGTATGAGCCACTGTGCCTGGCCTCAGTTTTTTAAACATACAATATTTACTCTTTTTCATGTAGTTTCATGAGTTTTGTCAGATGTGAAGTTGTGTAACTACCACCACAATCAAGATACAGAACAATTTCATCACCTGAAAAGCTCCCTCAAGCTGTCCTCTGTCATCAACCCTTGTCCCATTCCCAGCCCTTGGCAAACACTAATATGTTATTTTTCTATAGTGTTACCTTTTCTTGGACGTCATCTTATACTTATTTTTCAAAGTTTGGCATCTTTGCTGTTAAATATGAATGGGAAAAGTTACTTTGTTTTCATGGCTAAATCATCAAGTACTCACAGATGGTGGAAAACTTTGAATATACTTTTTTTGGCTTTTATTATTTTTAATAGATACATATATTTATGTGGTGTAGTATATTTCATCTTTCTTTTTTTTTTTTTGAGATGGAATTTCGCTCTTGTTGCCCAAGCCGGAGTGCAGTGGCATGATCGCGGCTCACTGCAACCTCCGCCTCTCGGGTTCAAGCAATTCTCCAGCCTCAGCCTCCCAAGTAGCTGGGATTATAGGCATGCGCCACCATGTCCAGCTAACTTTGTATTTTTAGTAGAGACAGGGTTTCTCCATGTTGGTCAGGCTGGTATAGAACTCCTGACCTCGGGTGATCCGACCGCCTCGGCCTCCCAAAGTGTTGGGATTATAGGTGTGAGCCACCATTCCCATCCTGGTGATGTAGTATATTTCAGTACATGTATAAAATGTATAATAATCAACTCAGGATAATCAGCACATTTGAATATACTTTAATAATTATTATCAAGTCTGTCTGTATATGTGCATTTTAAAAGGATAGATAAAATACCAGTTTTTATAAGTATACTTCTGATGTTCTCTGGCTATTGTTTCCATAGTTCTAAGTTCTGTTATGTCTTGGCCTTGGAGAAAAGTGTATTTTGTCTCTAGGACATTTATGTAGTCTTCAACTAATAGATTTTTTCCTATATTAGGCTAATTTATAAAACTTTAGTATTCCAGTCTTGATGAAAAAAGTTAATTAATGTCTTGACAAATTGAGATGTCAAAATTCTGAAATACGGGAATTAAAAGGATATTAGTTTGGCAAAAGGACCCTACTTTATTCTGACTTAAAGGAAGTGTAAGAAAACCCAAGTTAAAGAAAGGAGAGTTTCTTGTTTTATAAATTTTATCTCTAACAGTGGGTGCCACGTATGATACACCATGATGAGAGAGTGATATGCATCTTTGTTTTGTTTTAAAAGCAGAATTAGTGGAGACTAAACTTGATTTGTTATGCTGACTCGCTGCTAAAATCTAGTGAGGTTTTGTTATGATATAATAAAAATTAATTTGCTACTAGCCTTCATTTTCTTTTTTCTTTTTTTTTGGAGACAAGAGTTTTTGCTCTGTTGCCTAGGTTGGAGTGCAATGGCACAATCTCGGCTCACTACAGCCTCTGCCTCCTGGGTTCAAGTGGTTCTCCTGCCTCAGGCTCCCGAGTATCTGCGATTACTGGCACCTGCCACCATGCCCAGCTAATTTTTGTATTTTTAGTAGAGATGGGGTTTCACCATGTTGGCCAGGCTGGTCTTGAACTCCTGACCTCAAGTAATCCATTTGCCTTGGCCTCCCAAAGTGCTAGGATTGTAGGCATGAGCCTCTGTGTTCATTTTATTTTCATTGCACAATTTTGATATTTTAAATGCAATATTTGTGATAATTATAGGTCCACACCTTTTATGTGTTAAGATCATCAAGTTTTGTGTAAAGTTAAAATTAATTTATACATTTGATTAAAAAATATTAATATTAAGAAATTACTTGTCTTTTACCTGGGAAAGAAATATTATATTAAAAAACATATAATGTAGCACTTTTACCCGCCACACACTCTTTGATAGTTGCTACTTCACTGTATACTTTTTTTCTGTTTTTATTGGCTTATTGCATGGAAATAAGGTGATCTACCTGGCTTTTTAAATTTGCTAAAATTGTTTTGTGTTGCTATGGTTTTTTATGATTTTTTAGAAAATTATGCATATTTTTACATAGGACATGATTTTCTACATGTTTGCCAATTCATGTTAACTGTATGCTTTAGGCAAAGACAAGAAGGGAAGCTGTAATCTCTCTCGTGTGGACAGCACAACTTGCCTTTTCCCGGTGGAAGAAAAAGCGGTGGAGTATTACTTTGCTTCTGATGCAAGGTGAGCTTCCTTGGTTGATTCAGAGATTTTTAGTAAAACTTGTCATGCTACAGGAAACCAAGAAGTCATTGTGTATTAGTCTAGTTGTGCTCTGTCAGGGAACATTTTTAATTAAAGAAATATAGGTGACCATTTTGGAGATGGGGCTACAAGGACACTTTTTCTCTCATTTCAAAGTGTGTAGGTCAATTTATCAAGAACACTTGAGAGAATACTCCTTGAGACTTGTTGCAGTGTATTTTAGAGGTCTTACATTTTTTCCTTATTTGAGGAGCCTTATCCAGGTTTTGTAGGGAGGAGATTCTAGATTAGAGAGTAAAATGGCTTAGTTAGTATCCCAGTCATTATAGCATAGTTGCTAAACTATTTTAGTTTTATTGTAATGTAGATACTTATCTTTTACATTTAGAGTTAATTGCAGTATAATCACTTTTATAAAAGGATAGTAGTAGACTAAGACATATTGAGAGAAAGTACAGGGGGATGTTTAAATGGATTTATAAGTGAAATAGTAATGAGAATAAAATAAAATCACCCAAATGGCAAACAAGTATTTGAGTCATTCCCTGTGCCTGAAAATAAGAGAAAATAATAAAAATGAGAAAATACTGCCATTTAGGACATCAGGGAATATATTATCTCAGTGGGAAAATAAGCTTCACTCTTTAATATTTTTACAGGTGTGTAGTCAGGGCTAAGATGTGTAAGATTACACAGATGACAGTTAGGGCTTAAATACATTGGAATTATAGAAACATATCAGCCTTTTCTCATTAATTTATACATTCATATTGAACACTCTGAGTAAAGCCATATGGTAGCCTCAGAAGATAATGGTGAGTAAAAATAAAAATATTAGTTGTCCTTAAGGAGCTCTTCCTTAATAAGGAGGCAAATTTTAAACAATAATCATGCAAGTGTAGAATTCGAACTGTGACAAGAGCTGCAGAATGCGAGTAACAGAGAGATTTACCCTCCGGTGGGTAAATTTCTTTAAGGGAACGATGTTTGAACTGAGAGTTAAGGAGAGATCAGGAATTAATTAGGTGAACAGGTAGAGAGAGGAGCATTCTTTCTTGGTGAATGGCTCAGCCTGTGAGAGTTCAGGATGGCTATGAGTGTGGCTGGAATAGAGAGTGAGAGGAAGCTTGGTGGGAGATGAAGCTGGAGAAGGAGCCATAGGGATTACGGTAAGGCACTTTGTTGTCTCTCTAAGAGCCAAAGGGAATCTGTCAGATGATTTGTTGAGTGAAGGAGAAATCTTTACTAGAGCTGTTGCCTTTTAATATCAATTTTGGCAGAAATGGAGAATGGATAGAGAGAGATTAAGAGAGAAAGTGGGTGGACAAATTGGGAAGTTGCTGCAGTAGTCCAGCTAGGGAGCCGATGGGAGTTTGTATTTGTCTGGCGGACATAGAAACTTTGAGAATATTTGGAAGTTAAAATTTCAGGATTTAGTGATGGATAGAATGAGGAAGAAATAACCGTGCTTTCTGATCCAATCTGTTTGGTTTAGGTTGCTGTGCAGAGTTCCTTTTTTTTTTTCCTGCAGTGACCGCCTTCCCCATACTTTCCTATGGGGGATGGCATTAGTAACCAGAAAGTTCTCTGATATACTGCAGAGCAATAGAGTTTATATTGAAATTTGGTTCTTGTATCCAAATGATAGTTTCATTTGTCATGATGTCATCTTTGGTTATTGATTGTAATATCTCCTTGAAAATTTTATAGTGCTGTCATAGAACACACCAATCGCGTCATCTTTCTAGAAGATGATGATGTTGCAGCCGTAGTGGATGGACGTCTTTCTATCCATCGAATTAAACGAACTGCAGGAGATCACCCTGGACGAGCTGTGCAAACGCTCCAGATGGAACTCCAGCAGATCATGAAGGGTAAAAGTTTTTGTCATGTTATAGACAAAAACCGAATATATTCTACTTCTTTTCCTAGCATATTGAATCTAATAATGAACGATGAGTGGAATCTTCCAAATGATTAGTGAATAGTGAAGGGACAACTCTAGGAAAAGGGATGATTCTTTAGAGAAATTATCTGCTGGTTTTACAGTTGTCTTCAAACTAAAGATTTGTTATTTCTAACATAAAAAAGAGATTATTAGCACTTGATACTTTATTTTTTTTATTTTTATTTTTTATATTTTTTAGAGATGGGTTTCACCATGTTGGCTGCACTGATCTGGAACTCCTGACCTCAGGTGATCCACCCGCATTGGCCTCCCAAAGTGCTGGTATTACAGGTGTGAGCCACTGCGCCTGACCAACACTTGATGCTTTAAAGATACTTTATAAACATAAATACAGTTCATGTTGTTCCTTTTTATTCTCTTTGTGCTTTAGTTTTCTTACATATAACATGGGGATAATAGAGCCTACCTCATTAAGGTTGTTTTGAGGATTAAGAAGCTATTATATGGCCAGGTGCAGTGACTCACGCGTGTAATCCCAGCACTTTGGGAGGCTGAGGCAGGCGGATCACCTGAGGTGGAGAGTTCCAGACCAGCCTAACCAACGTGGAGAAACTCCGTCTGTACTAAAAATACAAAAAGCCGGGCTTGGTGGTGCATGCCTGTAATCCCAGCTACTTGGGAGGCTGAGGCAGGAGAATCACTTGAACCTGGGAGGCGGAGATTGTGGTAAGCCAAGATTGTGCCATTGCACTCCAGCCCGGGCAACAAGAGCGAAACTCCATCTCAAAAAAAAAAACACCCCAATTATATATAAAGCCCTTAAAACAGTGCCTGACACACTTAGTCCTATGTGATACTTGCTTCTGTTAACTATTACTGTTGTTACGATTTGGATTTTTATTTTCTTCCTTTCTGATAGGATTGTGATAGGAATAAAAACTAACATTGGCCAGGCATGGTGGCTCATACCTGTTATCCCAGCACTTAGGGAGACCAACGTGCTCTCACTTGAACTCAGGAGTTTGAGACCAGCCTGGGCAGCATAGCAAAATCCTGTTTCTACTGAAAATACAAAAAAATAATTATGGGCATGGTGGCATGTGCCTATAGTCCCAGCTAATGGGGAGGCTGAGGTGGAAGAGTCGCTTGAACCCAAGAGGCAGAGGTTGCAGTGAGGCAAAATTGTGCCATTGCACTCCAGCTTGCGTGACAGTGCATGACTCTGTCTTACCAAAAAAAAAAAAAAAAAAAAAAAAAAGCCAGGCATGGTAGTGTTCGCTTGTAGTCCCTCCTACTCAGGGGCTGAGGTATGAGGATTGCTTGAGCCCAGGAGATGAAGGCTGCAGTGAGCAGTGATTGTGTCACTGCACTTCAGCCTCGGTGACAGAGTGAGACCCTGTCTCAAAAAAAAAAAAGAAAAGAAATAACATTTACTGCCTAACTCTACATGTCAAATTCTTCGCTTTATTAATTCAAACTATAATCCACACTATGAAGTAACTGCTCTCTTATTTTATAGATTAGATAGTACAGGATAGAACTACAATTTGAATGTAAGTTGCACTCTAGAACTTAAAGCTTGTCTCATTTGGCTGGGGGTGGTGGGTCACACCTGTAAATCCCAGCCCTTTGGGAGGCTGAGGCAGGTGGATAATGAGGTCAGGAGTTCGAGACAACCCTGACCAATACAGTGAAACCCTGTCTCTACTAAAAATACCAAAAATTAGCTGGGCATGGTGGCACATGCCTGTAGTCCCAGCTACTCAGGAGGCTGAGGCTGGAGAATCCCTTGAACCCAGGAGGTGGAGGTTGCAGTGAGCCAAGATCATACCACTGTACTCTAGCCTGGACGACAGAGTAAAACTCCTTCTAAAACAAAACAAAACAAAACAAAACAAAACAACAAAACAAATGCTTGTCTCATTCTCTTGTTTTGTTGTAACTGCACATTTCAAGTATGAAGTTAATTAAAAGTGACTTTTACTCTGTTGCTTATTTTTTTCCCACATAGGAGTAAAATATATTCACCCAATCTTTTAGGCAGTCATATAGTCATATATAAATAACTTTCTCTATTGCATGAGAAAGTTTATTATTATATTTAATTTACCAAGATTATATTAAAGGAGAGACTTTTAGTTGTGTACTAATTCTTTCTTATTTTGTTTTTGTTTTAATTATATGCTTTCTATTATTGTAGGCAACTTCAGTTCATTTATGCAGAAGGAAATATTTGAGCAGCCAGAGTCTGTTGTGAACACAATGAGAGGAAGAGTCAACTTTGATGACTATACTGGTAATTACATATGAATTATTTTGTTATTTCAGTGTCTCTTATAGGAGGTGCCATTAACAACCTGAAAGTTCGTTGCCCTTAATAGACTTGTAGAACAACTATAGCTGCCAGCCATCAGGAGATCCCAGCTATCTTGGAAAAAGTTCTTTAGTGTATGATTCTACTTATATAAGATCTAGAGTAGTCAGATTCACAGAAACAGAAAGTAGATTAATGGTTACCAGGGGCTACGGAGAAGGGAAATGGGGAGTTATTGTTTGAACGGTAGAGAGTTTCAGTTGTGGGATGATGAAGAAGTTACAGAGATGGATAGTAGTGATGGTCACACAGTAATGTGAATGTACTTAATGTCATTGAATTGTACATTTAAAAATAATTAAAATGATAAATTTTATGTATTGGTCACCCATTGTGTACCAAGGAGTGTCCTAGGTACTGTGAATTCTAAGAAGAATGAGACCTGGCCTCGTTGCTGGGCAGCTTACATGTATCTGCCTAGCCTAGGTTTCCTTTCTCAGTGTATGCATGAGTAAAAGTGTAAACTTCCCCAGAGGTCTTTCAGGTATTTGCTTGATGCCTTTTGGATAGCCTGTACCTTCCTGCATTTTTAGGGTAGAAGTAAGAGTACAACACTAGTCTTATTACTGGAAATTCTCTCTAGACTGTGTCACAGGAGTGTTTATGCACTCCTGTTTGCGAGATGAGTTTGAGATTGACATTATGTGCTCATAAGATGTCCCTAAAATTATTGCGAAATCATGTTTTCAGAATACTGCTCTTTCATCATGACCAGTTTAATAAATAGTTTAACAAACAAGCTTTGGGCTAAGTGTCTCCATGTTAGGAATTAGTTTTTGAGAAATAATAAGTGGTGTGCAAAATCTTTTGTTCCTGAATCTATGTGTCATATGTACAATATTTAGTGTCTTCTTCATGTCATATCTTGCTAATTGATAGGGAATTATCTTTAGGAATAAATGCTGTTTCATATCTTTTTTTTTCTCTGAGTAGCGTTAGACTCTTGGAGAGATTTGTTGAAGGCTGAATTAATCAACTGGATATCTGTTATGTGCAGTGCACCATGCTGGATGTGTTAGGAACTATGGGAAAGCTATCTCTAATAAAGTCTTGTTCTTGAGGTGCTTATGATCTAGGAGATGGGGGATGAATATATAATTAACTATTTAGGCCAGTTGTGGTGGCTTATGCCTGTAATTCTAGCACTTTGGGAGGCTGAGGTGGGCAGATCACTTGAGGCCAGGAGTTTGAGACCACTCTGACCAACATGGCAAAACCCATCTCTACTAAAAATACAAAATTTGGGTCAGGTGCGGTGGCTCACGCCTGTAATCCCAGCACTTTGGGAGGTTGAGGTGGGCAGATCACCTGAGGTCAGGAGTTTGAGATCAGCTTGACCAACATGGCAAAAGCCCATCTCTACTGAAAATATAAAAATTAGCCAGGTGTGGTGGTGCGTGCCTGTAGTCCCAGATACTTGGGAGGCTGAGGCAGGAGAATCGCTTGAACTCAGGAGGTGGAGGTTGCGGTGAGCCGATATCGTGCCATTGCACTCCAGCCTAGGTGACAAGAGCGAAATGCCGTCTCAAAAAAACAGGCAACACTAGAAAGATGGTGGAGCAAGAGCAAAGAAAAATCCCTTTGGTTCCAGAAAATCTGAAAACGAGGAAGGTTTATTAAGCCCTCAAAGCCACCCAGGCAAACCCGGCACTTTTGGCAAAGAAGGAGCAGAGCAAAGTAAAATAGATCAGTGTTAAGTAACTGGAATAATTCCTACATGATTCCTGGTGGCAGAAACATGATAAGGTGTGTCTTAGACTACTAGAAATGAAAGCTTATGCCTTGGAATTGCCAGATAAACATTCTTTGGCCTTTGTTGTATGCATCGAAAGGATTGATGGCATGAATTTACTGGTACAGAGAACCATTGCAAGGCTTTGCCTAAAGAAAATTTTTAGTGGTGCCTTTGTAAAAGTCACCCCCCAGAACCTAAAAATGCTGCATATAGTGGAACCTGATGTGACCTAGGTATTTCCACATCTGAAGTCTGTCCGGGAACTCATTTTGAAACGTCAAGGATAAGACCGTGACAAGCCAACGTCAAGGATAAGACCATCTCTCTGACACAGCGATTGAGGAGCACCTGGGGAAGTTTGGTGTCATTTGTTTGGAAGACGTCATTCATGAAATTGCCTTCCCAAAGAAGCATTTCCAGGAGATCTCCTGGTTCTTGCACACTGTCCACCTCTCAGTGCCCAGTTATGCTACCAGAAATAGAGTGAGCTTCCTCAAAGAGATGGGCCCATTTGGCTATTGGGGTGAACGCATCAATCAACTCATCTGCCAGCTGAACTAGACGTAGGTGCCAAACTACAGTAAATTTTTATTAATGAAGTAGAAGCATGTGTTACTGGTTTTTTGGGAATTTTTATCAAGTATCTTCAGAGAAGATTATTTCCTGCTTTATCTTCAAAAACTGGAAAGGAAAGGTCAAAGAAAAGTCAGTAGCTGGCTGGGCGCGGTGTCTCATGCCTGTAGTCCAAGTACTTTGGGAGGCCAAGGTAGGTGGATCATCTGTGGTCAGGTTTGGGAGGCCAAGATGGGCTGATCACTTGAGGCCAGGATTTTGAGACCAGCCTGACCAACATGGCAAAAACCCATCTCTACTAAAAATACAAATATTTAGCCGGGTGTGGTAGGGCATGCCTGTAATTCCAGCTACTCAGGAGGCTGAGGTAGGAAAATCGCTTGAACCCGGGAGGTGGAGGTTGTGGTAAGCTGAGATCGTGCCACTGCTCTCTAGCCTGGGCAACAAGAGCAAAACTCTGTCCCTTCTGCCAAAAAAAAGGAAAAGAAAAAGGCAGTAGCTTATGTTTATGGCAAGCACCTCTCATCACAGTCCAGTTCCAAGGAAAAATTTCAGCGTTTTCTATGTTGGCTGCTGCCTCATCTGAAATTGGCCCATTCCAGGGAGGAAGGAGTCCTGCTTTGTTGCATCTTCTATTCTGGGGCTGAATGTTGATAAATGAGTAACTCTAACATTCGTGCAAGGCTCTCTAAGACTTGCAGCAGTCAACCAAGCCCAGGGACCTAATTGAATCTGGAGACTCCTGGGGCCTTGTTTTGAAAAAGACTTGAAATACACATAGGAAGAAAGGCACAAAATTAAATATTCACTGTCAAAACAAAAAATACAAAAATTAGCTGGGTGTGATGGTGCCACCTGTGATCTCAGCTACTCAGGAGGCTGAGGCAGGAGAATTACTGGAACCTGGGAGGTTGAGGCTGCAGTGAGCCAGGATTGCACTACTGCACTCTAGCCTGGGCAAAAGAGCAAGACTCCGTCTAAAAAAAAAAAAAAAAATTAAAGGTAAAATATGATAAATAGCATTAGAAACACCTTTTAATGTTGAAATGCTTTAATGCTAAATTTAGAGCAAGTAGACAGTGAATCTGTGGGAAGGGGCTTTGGGCTCAGGAAAGGCTTAATGAAGTAGACAGGTTTGGGTTTTGAAGGATTTTGAAGATTTACATCGATGAAGATCAGATGGGAGCATTTCAGTTAGCTAGAAGAGCATTAGCTAGTGGAATTAGTATTAGCTAGATAGTGAGACCTTTAGAAAGTTGCTTATTGAATAAATGTAGTCTCGATTGTCTGCCAGATCTACTGCTTGAAGAGGAGTAAAAAGAAATGTCTAGAAAAGAAGCTGAGAGGAACTGCTTGCTATAGAGGGCTTTGAATGCATTCTAATGTGAGAGTGGAGTGGGAGGTACCTCCTTTTATAGAAATTACAGAGCTATTGAAGACCAGGGGGTATGCTAGCTGTTTTTACTGAGGTGAACAGGCTGCCAATCTTCAGTGTGCACCACAAGAATGAGAGGCTGAGAGATGTGGTTGTCAGATAGGATGTTGTCCTGGCTGAGGTACAGCCATAGGGGAGGGAGGAGGGGACCAGGAGAGAAACAGAAGCAGTATAAACTAGGAATTATGTCTGCCTCTGTAGACAGAAGAGGGTTGTTAAAGATGGTTGAGCTGGAAGAACTGGGAGAGTAGCTGTAAATTCTTTAATGGTATTTATGGAAATGAGATCAGGAAAAAGATTTGTTTTATAAGGGAAGAAAAAATGAGACAAATTTTGGGAACATGGTTTTTTTAAAAAGTACTTTTGGCTGGGTGCAGCAGCTTATGCCTGTTAATCCCAGTGCTTTGGGAATCCAAAGCAGGAGGATCACTTGAGCTCAGGAGTTCTAGACTAGCCTGGGCAATCTAGGGAGATCTTCGTTTTTACTAAAAAAAATTTAAAAACTGAGCTGGGTGTGGTAGTGGTTGCCTGTAGCACTGGCTTCTCAGGAACCTGAAGTGGGAGGATGCTTGAGCCTTGTAGACTGAGGCTGCAGTCAGTTCTAACTCTACCACTGCACTACAGCCTGGTTGAAAAACCTGTCTAAAAAAAAAAAAAAGAAAGAGTACTATATCTGTATTATGTGCATAAAAGTTCTGTAATAAAACAGGATAGTTGTCATCTTTTCATTATTAAGATGAAGATTGAGGCTGTCAGTTTGCCAGAGGTCACATTGTTAGTCATTTGTTGAACCAAAGTAGTCCCATGTATGTTCATTGTTCTAAGTGTTCTCCATCCCCTCCCCTGTCCATCAGGCATTCTTGCTTTTGCCTGTAGTGATGGCCTACTTCATCTCAAAAGGGATCAGGCTTTTCTCAAAAGCATCAAATTCAGAGCTTTGGGCAACTCCTTTCAGAACTATTCCAACTCTACTCAGCCACCAGAAATTTCTAGGACTAGTTTTAAGGAAACACCATGGCCAGCTAATCTCACCATCTTATATATCCATGTAATTCTTTGTCATCATCTGCTTTGCAATATAGGTCTTTTTTTTTTTTTTCTTTTATATTGAGTCTTTGCCTTTGCATGACCCCGATCCAGCCTTTTACTGTTGACCCCAAGCCAGCCTTTTACTGTTGTTTCCTTTCTTTCGAAACATGTTAATTAATGCTGAGGTCTGTGGAAAACACTGTAGGCAGAGGTATGCAAACAGGCTTGATCTAGTGCAGGAGCAGCAAGGAGGCCAGTCTGGCTGGTGTGGCCTGGGTGAGAGGGGACGTGCTAGGATATTAGGTCACAGTAAGCATGAGAGAGATTGTATGGGACTTGAAGGCCAAAGTAAGGAGTTTGGATTTGATTCTAAATTATTTGGGAAGTTGGTAACACTTTTTATTTTGTTTGATTTTGTTTTCTACTTGCTAATTTTTTAAAATAGAGAAACATACCTTCTTTTATTATTGAAATTCAAAAAGGAGAACATATAATTATTCAAAAGATAAAAAGTAAAACATGTACCTTGGTTTTATAGTATAACTAACTAAGATAAGAAAGAAGGTGGCCTGATTGGGCATGGTGACTCACGCCTGTAATCCCACCACTTTGGGAGGCTGCGGCAGGCGGATCACTTGAGATCAGGAGTTTGAGACGAGCCTAGCTAACATGGTGAAACCCTCTCTCTACCAGAAATTCAAAAAATTAGCTGGGCATGTTGGCTCACACCTGTAATCCCAGCTATTAAGGAGGCTGAAGCTTGAGAATTGCTTGAACTTGGGAGGCGGAGGTTGCAGTGAGCCAAGATTGTGCCACACTGCACTCCAGCCTGGGCGACACAGCAAGACTCCGTCTCAAAAAAAAATAAAAAAGAAAAAGAAGGTGGGGAGATGAAGACAGCAGGGGCAGAGTAGACAGACTGAGGATGGTTCGGAGGGAGAAACAGGATGAGGTCCACGAGGAGGTACCTGCCTTTTTTCTTAGCCCATTGTGGAACTGCTTGAGTCTAGAACTTGGATAGCCTCTCAGTGTCTTGACCACTGTATTCACTTGGTGGGTGGTTAGGGAATTTTAGTTGACTAGTTGAATGAATATTGAATGGGAATTTCTCACAGATAGAAAACTAGCCTGTGTGGAAGGATTTCTGGACAAGACACATGGAAAACAACATGTAAATAGCTATAGAAACTGAAAAAGAAAAAGAGGACCGACTTCCTTGGAGAGTCTTTATGTTTTCAAAGGATCACTCGAAAAGATCCTTCTGGCAGCGTATGGAGAGCAGACTTTATGAGGTGGAGGACAGAAGAGAGATCTGGAGAATGTTGCTGTTATCCAGGGAGAGATGCTTGGTTTGAAGATAAATGTGGAGGGATAGGAACAATCAAGCCTTTTGACTGAATAGGGATTAGGGGAATAGGGATGGCAAAGGCTGAGAGGAGAGTGGGTTTATGTTGTGTACAGAACACTTTTCTGGGAACCAGAAGGGAAATAAACATAACTGAGATGATGTTTTCCCCAGACAGGTTTATTGAGACATAATTAAATATAATGAAATTCACCGTTTCCTAGTGTATAACTCTTAGGTTTGACAAACCTCTACAACATAGTCGTAATCATAACCTCCTACAAAGTCAGTATGTAGAACAGTTCTATCACTCCAGAAAAATTCCTTGCACCCTGTTGTTGCCACCCCCTCCTCTGGCTCCAGCCTTCAGCATCTACTGATCTGTTTTCTGTGTCCCTCTACTTTTGCCTTTAAGATAACTTTTTAAGAGAAGAATGTAAAAATGACTAACTAAGGTAGAGTGTATTAAATGCTGTGATTGTGTGGGCATGTAGAGAGTTGAGTAAGGTCAGTTATAAGTTTGGAGGGGCCAGTTAAGTTGTGACTTATTTAATTTACTTTTCAAAATTACAGAGAACTATGCTTTCTAAGAGGAATATGAATTCTTTAAAACATCAGTAATTCTTTCTTATATTGGCAGTGGATACTCATAAAATGCAATTTACGTGGTTCTTTGCTGAATAATTGTGTACACAAACTTTTATTTCAGTGAATTTGGGTGGTTTGAAGGATCACATTAAGGAGATCCAGAGATGTCGGCGTTTGATTCTTATTGCTTGTGGAACAAGTTACCATGCTGGTGTAGCAGTAAGTGCCTCTTAAAATTTTAATTATAGAGAATATCTATAGAACAAGTAGTAACTCTAATAACATACAATGTTAAACTCTCTTTTGTTAAAATGTGATATCTTTTCACTTTTGTGATGGAAAAAAAAGGTAGGGGAGAAATTTTACCAGCTGCTCGGAATTATTAATGGAAGATCTGTAGAAAATGTCCATAGATATACAGATAGAACCCCTGCAACGGACTTCATGAAAGGCCAAGAAGGGGAGAATTTCAGTGCTTGTAGCCTAGGGAGCTTACCTATGTGTATAAGAGCAGTCATTGGGTTTTGCTTAGTGTTGTTCACTTGCTCTAGACAGATGACCCATATCACGTGTGAACTTCAATGCAGTTTTATTTTGTGGGCACAGTACTGCAAAGAAAGGGAGTCTGCTTTTTTTTTTTTTAAATTAGATTTTATTCTTTAAATTCTTCTTTTAGAAGCTGAAATTTGGTATAAAAAACTTGTATTGTTGTCAGTGCAGAAGCATAGGTATATGAGGGTCTTTTATTCTAATAAGTTAGATTCACATGTAGTTTCCTTAAAAAGAGACAGTTTCTATGTGCTGTTGATGTCAACTCTTATAAACAGAAGACCTTTACATTCAGTTTCTGCTTTGAGGATTGATTTCCAAAATTCACGACATAGGAACTTTTTTATTTGTGGAGGCATAAATATTTATCAGGAGCCATTTATTTAAGCAGTGAGGGAAACTATCTGGTCACTAGCCCTTGCATCTCAACAAGCTTTGCTCTTTTCTAAGACTACACCAGATACCTCCCCCGAATCCCCCAAAATTATATGGTCCTAAACAGAAAGTCTATGTAATGTTGAAGGGTAGAGGTCTAAAAAAGTGATTCTTAGCTTTGCGCAGTGGCAGTATCGTAGCCAATGAGGTTTTTCCGAGACACGATGCTTGCTAATTAAAAAAGTGATTGTTTTGTCTGGGAGTGGTGGCTCACACCTATAATCCCAGCGCTTTGGGAGTGCAAAGTGGGAGGATCACTTGATACCAGGAGTTTGAGCCTGGGCAACATAGTGAGACCCTGTCTCTACAAAAAGAAAAAAAAATTATCAGGGTGTGGTGGCAAGTCCCTGTAGTCCTAGCTGCTTGGGAGGCTGAGGCAGGAGGATCACTTGAGTCCAGAAGGTTGAGGCTGCAGTGATCCTGGATTGCATGGCTGCACTTTAACCTGGGTGACAAAACCAGACCCTGCCTCAAAAAAAAAAAAAAAATGTTTTTGAACATGGGAAGAATGATATAAACACATTAGTGGTGGCTTAGATCTATTACTGAATGAGCCCTCTATTCACAAATAAAAAAGTTGATTAAATGCTTCATCTAGTACTAAGAAAATTTTGGGGCAGAAATTTATATGCTCTGTTAGAATTCTCTAATGTAGGATTTTTTGTTGTTTTGTGGATGCCAAGACTGCTATAGTTAACAAACATTAGAAATCCCTGTGGTTTATCAGACAAAATAGTACCGTTTATTTTACCTTGTTTTACATTCTTTGTTGTTGTTTTATGACACATTTGCATGGCTTTTCAGTATCTCTCTGTATCCTGAATAATAACTGATTACATGCTAATTATTCTTAACCCATTTATGCCAGAGGTTGCAATTTTTTTGTGTGAAAAATCAGACTTTGGCAATGACCTAGAGCAGGAGAATGTAAATACCTCCCACAGGCTTAGTGTTCCAATAATGGAATACTAGGCATAAATGGTTTAAGTATAGCCTACTTAGTAGGCTTTTCAAAATTTTAATTTTCTCTACATTTTGTCGTGACATTCAGTGGAAAATATGCATTAAGTTACTCTATTGTGGTGGAAATATGTTATTTTGTGTATTTATAAAAAGTTGTTTCTAGCTGGGTGCAGTGGTGTGTGCTTGTAGTTCCAGTTACTCGGAAGCTGAGGCAGGAGGATCACTTGAGACCAGGAATTTGAAGCCGCAGTGTGCTGTAATCATGCCTCTTAATAGCTACTGCACTCCAGCCTGGGCAACAAACCAATACCTCATCTTTAACCAAAAAAAAAAAAAAAAAAAAAAAGTTGCCTGAACTAAAAGAATAAACTGTTAATTAGCACAGCTAAATCTTAGATTACTTTTTTGGGGTCTGTTACTTTTAAGTATCTGGTAAGTCTCCAGATTTCTTTCCCCATCTTTTTATTTTGAAGAATATTATTCTAATGTAACATTTATATTATAAACTGGGTGAAAAGGTTTGGTTTATATTTATTTGTAGGAAAACATTTAGCATTTTAGTGTCAGTAACTTAATTATACATTATAAGTAAAATATATTTATGGAAAAGAGTAATCAAAAATAGGAGCATTTTATCTTCAATGATTTTCTACATGCTGTTGTAATGTTAAAAAATGCCAAACCAAAGTTATTTATTTTGGGAAACCAAACAAATCAGTTCTGCCCAAATTTGTGTGGAAGCAAAAGTTAAAGGGCTGTGAAATAAGGCCACCTTTAAGTTCTTTATTGCTGAGAAGGAAAAATGCTGAGATGGGTGAAAGATGGGCAGGGCCACTTGCCTGAAGAGGCTGGGAAAGGCTGTCAGGGTAGGTGATCTCCTGAGTTAGAATTAAAGCAACACTAAATATATACATTGGTTGAGCTTAAAGTTTTTGCTGCCTAAATGTTAATTTTTCTGTTGTTTTTAGTTTTCCAATGTTTAGTGTAAAAGGAATTTAATTAGAATGGAAATTTACTGAAATGAAGGTTAAGCTACCTTTTGCACAGAGGCATATTTCCCCCTTCTTTATTCCCCCTGCCCCATACCACAAAGTTTGAAAATAGTGAGACCTCTTAAACAAGATTTCTAAAATATATTGATGACTTTTGTGAAATTGTCCTATTTATGAATACATCGCATTTTAAAAATGTTTAATTTTTCTCTCTGTATTTGTATATCTCTTATTTGAAATTCTTCACTGGCATGGTTATTATGTGAATTTTCATTTTAAAGATTAGGAATCGGGAAGTTAGAGATAATGCACAGCCTGACCCAGAATCATGCTCTTTCTGCTTCTCAAAATGTTTTATATGTGTGGGCTTGTTTCCTTGTAAGAATGTATGTGGCCGGGTGCAGTGGGTGGCTCACGTCTGTAATCCCAGCACTTTGAGAGGTCGAGGTGGGCAGATCACGAGGTTAGGAGATTGAGACCATCCTGGTCAACTTGGTGAAACCCCATCTCTACTAAGCTGGGCGTGGTGGCACATGCCTGTAGTCCCAGCTACTCGGGAGGCTGAGGCAAGAGAATTGCTTGAACCTCGGAGGTGGAGGTTGTAGTAAGACAAGATCGCGCCATAGCACTCCAACCTGATGACAATGCGAGACTCTGTCTCAAAAAAAAAAAAAAAGAAGGTATGCATAGATAGTTGTCATAAGAGAGTGAAGGAAAATGTTAGCCATGCTTATCTCAAGTGGTAGGATTTTGATTTTTGATGTTTTATATTTTAATCTGGGTTGTTTGTATTTTATTTTCTAACATGTCATTTTTGTAATTAGTAAAAGCGAAAACTATACATTAAATCCAGAGAAGTCCAGTGAAAGAGTATTTGAAAGAGAGTTCTGTGACCAAGTCATCTTTTCTCTGCAGACACGTCAAGTTCTTGAGGAGCTGACTGAGTTGCCCGTGATGGTGGAACTAGCCAGTGACTTCCTGGACAGAAACACACCAGTCTTTCGAGATGATGTTTGCTTTTTCCTTAGTCAATCAGGTGTGTTAATTTTAAAGACTTAAAGGGAAGGAAAGTGATTCCAATAATTCCAACGTATCTTGGCGAAAGCTGGTATTTAAAGATAAACTGGTATTGCAGATAACTTGACAAACCCAGATTTATTTTAATATTACCTAATTCTTTATGAGTTAGTAAAAATGAACACCTTTTATGTTCAAAGAGCTGGAGTTTCAACAACAGAAAGAAGAGAGATCTGACAAGTCATATTACTTAAAAGTTTTATAAATTTTTTAAGTGCATGTTTTGTGTTTTATTTAAAACAAGTAATAAAATTATGGGCAATTCGGTTTTGCTTCTAAAACAGTATATGCTAAAACTGTTCTGTATGTTATGGTTGTCCTACTTTTTACACAGGTGAGACAGCAGATACCTTGATGGGTCTTCGGTACTGTAAGGAGAGAGGAGCTTTAACTGTGGGAATCACAAACACAGTTGGCAGTTCTATATCAAGGGAGACAGATTGTGGAGTTCACATTAATGCTGGTCCTGAGATTGGTGTGGCCAGTACAAAGGTAAATTCTTGCCTCATTTCTCTGGTGATTATTTAATCATAGTGTTAGTAAAGGAGACTAGTCTATAGACAAGTCTGTATCTTATTTTTTGTTAGAAGTTACATAACTCATATATTTTACTAATCATTGTAATTATCGTAGGACTTAAGGGTCAGTAATAGATAAAAGACTTGTCATTCTCTCCCTCCTCCTAATCTTAGAGTTTAAAAGGGACATATGCATATAATGTAAGTCCATTTTGAAAAGGTCTCTGCTGGCTATCCCTGTCTGTCACTAACTGTCCTCCTGCTAGGCACAGTAGGATACATAACAAGTATATAACATCTCCTTCTTTCATGAAGTATAGTCAGGAATTAGAAAAGTAACAAATTAGAAACATCCAGTTTAACCATTTTTGGAATTCAGATTTATCTGTTTATGGCTTCTAATAAATATGTCACAGTGTACATTCTACCTCTGAAAGTTTTTAAGGAGGAGTGCACCTTTGGTAAAAAAATTTTTTAATGAGTATTGTATGACAATATCTGTTTCTCTTTAGATACTGCTCAGGGGAGGTTTAAAGGTACTGTCTTGTTTTTTTGAAGGCCTAGTAAGACTACTTTGCTCTTTGAAGTTAGAATATGCATAAATTTAGGCAGGTAATAAAAATAAGAAATTTTAGAAACTTGTATAAATACAAAAGATGTTATTCTTCCACAAGTGTGTTTTGGGGTTTTATGTTTGTTTTTTAGAGACAGGGTCTTGTTTTGCCACCCAGGCAGGGGCTGGAGTGCAGTGGTGGGAATCATAGCTCACTGCAGCCTCAGGCTCATGGGCTCAAGTGAGTCTCTGCCTCAGCCTCCTGAGTAGCTGGGACTATAGACGCACCACCATGCCTGGCAAGTTTTTTTTTTTTTTTTAAAAAAAAGACAAGGTCTTGCTATGTTGCCCAGGCTGTGTATTACTTTTTATGATTTCACATTTTTGTTTTCTCAGTATTTTTCTGCTGAAGTCTGATATTTCTTGCTGTTTGTCTAATATGATTTTGGGGTATTAGTGTATTTGAGTTTAATTAAAGGTTTGTGGAAGACAATGTTAATGTGTACATAACCACATTTGAATATTTTCTCTCATAGAGAATTTTTTATACAAAATTTGTGATTCTTACATAAAAACTCTTCTTCTTTTCTTTTCCTTTTTTTTGTGGGGTGGGGGAGATGAAGTCGCACTCTGTTGCCCAGGCTGGAGTGCAGTGGTATAATCTCAGCTCACTGTAACCCCCACCTCCTGGATTCAAGCGATTCTCCTGCCTCAGCCTTCCAGATAGCTGGGATTACAAACATCTGCCACCATGCTTGGTTAATTTTTGTATTTTTAGTAGAGATGGAATTTCACCACGTTGGCCTGGCTGGTCTTGAACTCCTGACTTCAAGTGATCTACCTGCCTCAACCTCCCAAAGTGCTGGGATTACAGGCATGAGCCACTGCTATACCTGGTCCTTTTTTTTTTAGAGACAGGGTCTCTCACTCTCTTCCACAGTAGATAAAGAGCAGTAGTACAATCATCATGACTTACTGCATCCTGGGCCTTCCTGGGTTCAGGTGATCCTCCCACCTCTACCTCCTAAGTAGCTGGGACTACAGTTGCAGCCTACCACCCACGCCTGGCTAATTTTTATATTTTTTATAGAGATGGAGTTTCACCATGTTGCCCCGGCCAGTCTGGAACTCCTGGGCTCAAACGATCTGCCTGCCTTGGCCTCCCAAAGTGCTGAGATTACAGGCATGAGCCCAGCATAAAAAAACTTTTGAGTGAGATTTTTATTTCTTGGATATTTTGATATTACTAACACTATAATTTATAGAGTGCTGAAACGTGAATTTTCTCTGTATAATAATTAAAACATGTTACATGTTTGTGCTTGGGTTTCCATCCTGTGGCTGAATTAATGACCAGCCACCTTTAGTAGCACTTAATGGATTTTTAAAGCAGCGTCCAGATGGCTTTGATTGGGATACTGGAATCCCAGAGCCTTTTTATTTATAACAGATTGTGAAGCAAGGGCTTGAAGTATGTGGGATATGGGATTGTTTGATTGGATGGATGCCACTGACTTAACCTTCTCATAAAATTTTTCTGGAATTGTGAGCTGCCAAGGAAACTATATATATTTTACATTTCTCATTCCTTTGTTTATGAGAACTTTAGTTTGCCTCAACATTTTATGATGGTGATTTTCAAATATACAGCAGAGTCTTAAAAATTTTACATACAGGCTGGGTGCAATGGCTCATACCTGTTATCCTGGCACTTGGGGAGGCTGAAGTAGGAGGATCACTTGAGGCCAAGAGTTCGAGACTAGCCTGGGCAACATAGTGAGACCTCATCTCTATAAAAAATACAAAAATTAGCAGGGCATGGTGGTGTGTACCTGTAGTCCTAGCTACTCAGGAGGCTGAGGCTTGGGCCCAGGAGTTTGAGGCTGCAGTGAGCTATGATCACACTACCACACTCTAGCCTGGATGATAGAATGAGACCCTGTCTTAAAAAATAAAAATTTTACATTAGCATTGGTAAACCCACCATCTAGCTTCTACCGTAGCATATTCACCAATTTTACATGTACAGTTGTAGTAAATTTATTTGGCTTTGCAACTGTTATCACAATCCAGTTTTAGAAGATGATCACCTGAAATATTCCTTTGTGTTTCTTTACAGTCAATCCTTACTCTTACCCTCCAGCCTCACACTCAGGAACCACGGTTTTCTCCTACTGTATTGTGGCACCTTCCAGAAAATTCTTGTAAATGTAATTTATATAACACATTTTGTGTTCTAGCTTTTTCATTAAGCCTGAAGTTTGTTTTTTAAATAAAGCCAGTTAAATATAGCAGTGGGGTTTTGTATACCAACTTTAGTAATGCTAATGTTAGTGAGTTCTGATGACCCACTGCTATTGGACCAGCCAAGCCTGAAGTTTTTGAGATTTGTTCATGTTATTTGTATCAGTAGTTCTTTGTTTCTGCAAGTCCTTTGTTTTCTTAAAAAAACAACTTTTTATTTTGAAATACCTATATAGGAAGTTGAAAAGATAGTACAGAGAAGTCTTATGTATTCTTCACCCAATTATCCCCAATGGTTACCACCTGTATAAGAAAATTAGCATCTTTTTAGTACAGACTTTAATTTATTTCAAAAATGACTCTTGAAAAATTTACTAAATATGGCAATTTAGTATTACTTTATTTTTCTTGGATTCTAAAGTAATTTTATTCAATTGTCTTAGACATTTTCGGCTTAGTTACTTATAATAAATTTTGAGTTATTTAGTCATAGACAATTCCAGGTGGCAAATACAAGTTTTTATGTTAGTGGGTATTGAAAGAAGTTGATTATTATGATTATTATTATTATTTTTTGAGACAGAGTTTCACTCTTGCTGCCTAGGCTGGGTGCCCAGGCTTGTAGTGGTGTGACCTCAGCTCACTGTAACTTCTGCCTTCTGGTTTCAGTTTCTCCTGCCTCAGCCTCCTGAATAGCTGGGATTACAGGTGCCTGCCATCACACCCATTTACATTTTTAGTAGAGATGGGGTTTCACCATGTTGGCCAGGCTGGTTTTGAAATCCTGACCTCGTGATCCACCTGCCTTGGCCACCCAAAGTGCTGGGATTACAGGCGTGAGCCACCATGCCCAGCCAGTTACTGATCCTAATCCCTGGGCCCAGTGATGGAGCTAGTAGAAAAATTCTATGATCTTGCTTATAAATTCTCAACTTTGCCTGAAAAACTGTCAGGATTAAAAGGATATTACTGAGTTTCTCATAGTGTCAGACCGTAGACATTTTGATACTTCTGGAGGAACTGATGGGTATAAATGTTAAGTTCAGCAACTTTTATATGTTATTGCAGGTGTTTAGAATTTCACCACAGTGCTGACTTTTGTTGATTTAAAAAAATAAAAATGTTACTTTGTTTTTGGCTGAACAAAAAGAAAAACGAAGTTTAAAATTTCAGAGTCAGCATTTTCCTGGTAAACTTTTTCAAACCTCAGTAGATGCTAAATGTAGAATATAGCTTATTTTTCCTCATAATTGGTTTCCTGGTATGTATTTAAAAATATGAAATTGAAATTACAAATTAAACTGTAATAGCAATGCAGTGGAAAAACATATGCATTAAAGTTACTGTGTTTAATATTTGTACTTAAAAACTAGTGTTCAGATGTTTTCAGTTCAAACAAATAAATACTAGTTTGTAGAATAACATTTTTAGTTATGGGCTAGAGGAACTGGAATAATCATTATCTGATCAATTTGGATTGGAAACAGTGTAAGTGTTCCAGGGGTCCAAGATACCTCTGACCTGGTAGTATATTTTGTGATTAATTGATTTATCGAAAAGTAAACCACAGTAGGAAGAAGTAGAGTAGAAGAGACTGGAATTTAGAATATAGATGTGCTCATTAGTCTTGGAGGCAGGGGACTCCAAATTCACTTTAGTGCTCTAGGAAAAGATTCCAATCTGCTGGTGGAATATAATAGGTGTACATGGAGGCTGTTGTGGAGGACCATGTGAGCAGCTGGAGGCTGGGAAGTCCAGCAGGAGGAAATAGGGAGTCTCATTTAATGATTGGGATGATAGGGAGTTGCCAGACTGATTTTATTATAGAGGGAGTCTCATCCACATCATGACAGGAAAATATTCACCACTGGAGTAATCCCTTATCAAGAGAAGAGTAATAGAAATTCAGCGTATAATCCATGCACATGCACACACACCCTCAGAATAAATTTCTGAAAGTTAAAATTATATCTGCCATAACCAACAACAGCACAATAAGTTACTGTTTTTCTAAAAGAGACATAAATAAAAGTCTCAAATGTCTGAAACATAAAAATGCTTTTCTAAATAACTATTGGATTAAAAAAAATCAGAACTACCATTGAGAAAGACTTACTAGAAAAAAGTACACAATGAATAATAGGGATAAAAATTTAGAGTGTGTGGCCAAAGTGATGAATAGAGGTAAATAGCACTAAATTCCTAGAACAAATTGATGAAAATACCATATTTTTAAATGAAAAGATTGTTTTGTAAAGAAATGACGTACCTCAGGACAGAGTTAAGTGTTCCTGCAACTTGCACTAAAATTAATTTCAAACAGACTAAAAGGGAAAATGTTTAAAAAAGAAAAAATGAGCAACGAAAACAACAGAAGTAAGAAAATTTCATACTTAGCTTATGTTAGGATGTGGAAGGATCATCTGAGTCTAAAAGTATTACATAAAAGCTAAAAAATTATGAACACCAATATAAATCCACATAAAAGGTAAGTTCATGCCGAGAAAATATTTAAAACATAACAATAACTACCTTCTTAAAACCAATTTGAAAAAAACAAACTCAAGTTGAAAAACAGGTGAGGAACAACAAAGTTGTCAAAAGAGAAAATATAAATGGCCAACAAACATGGGGAAAAAAAGCTTAGTTTTAGAATTCAATATATGTATGGTATAGTAGTGAAGGTTCATTGACCAGCAGTCAAAATGGTAAGTTTGCTAAAAAGATAATTCTCAGTATTTTATAGTATGCAATGAAACAGGCACATCTCACATTCACAAAGAATGAAAACAGTCTTGGCAGTTGGACTGCAAATTTAAAAATATGTACAATTTTGCATCCTAAGAAAATAATTGTCATTTAGTTCAATCTGTCATCCATAACATTTGTAGTACATTTTGAGCTTATATATCAGGCATTATACAGAACTGAATGTTTTACATTTGTCTCATTTAATTCTCATGTTAATCTTATAAGTATGTCATGTGCATTTAACAGATGAGGTGTCTGAGGCCTAAAGAGATGAAAACTACTTCAAGGTTGTAATGTAATTTGACATAGTTCAGTCTTGGGAATACACTTGTACTATTAATTAGGAGTGAAAGCAAGTTCTAAAATTGTACCTGCTAATAATTAATTTTCTTAACTATGTAAAGAAAATTAAAACAGTAAAAACTATAAGGCAGTATTCATAAATGTTATTAATAGCATATAATTAATGTAATTATTTTAATTAACAGATAAAAGATTATTATTTCTATTTACTTTTCTACAATTGAACTTTTTTTTTTTTAATGACAAACTTAAAAAATAAAACTGGAAGTGAGGAACAGGCAATAGGCAAAGGTGAAAATCAAAGAGCAATTAAAAAAAAATCCAACAATACCAGTGTGAGTACCCCAAGGAGAGTTTTTCAAGCACTTGCCTTTTGACTTACACCAAAAACTAAATTTGGTTAGGCACATAGTGATTTACTCAACTCATCTTTTCCTTTCTTTCTTAGGGGTATTAGGAATTTTATAAGCATTCAATGGATTATAAGGGGTTTTGCTTTTGTATCTAAGAAATAAAGGTTAAGTCATTTGTTCAAGATTCAGAAAAGGAGAATAGTGATAGATTTCCCAAGTTCTGGTTCATTCACTGTTACTAAGGTAGATTTATTTATTTAATTTTATATTTAGTTTTATTTTTGTTTTTTGGAGACAGGGTCTCCCTCTGTCCCAGGCTGCAGTGCAGTAGTATGATCCTGGCTCACTGCAACCTCTGCCTCCTGGGCTTAAGCAATCCTCCTAAGTAGCTGAAACCACAGATGTGCACCACCACACCCAGATAATTTTTGTGTTTTTTTTTTTGTAGAAATGGGGTTTCGTCATGTTGCCCAGGCTAGTCTCGAACTCCTAAGCTCAAGCAGTACACCTGCCCTGGCCTCCCAAAGTGCTGAGATGACCTGCGTGAGCTACCATGCTCAGCCCTAACGTAGTTTTAAAAAATGGATAAAAAATAACCAAACAAAAAAAAGGGGGAAAAAAAAGATGGATAATGTATACTATAAAACCAATGGGAATTTTATTTTCAGCTTTTTAAAATTAAAAGTTCTAAATTCTTAAGATGTAACTGCAACTAATTCTCCTGCTTTTTTGTGATGTTTCAGGCTTATACTAGCCAGTTTGTATCCCTTGTGATGTTTGCCCTTATGATGTGTGATGACAGGATCTCCATGCAAGAAAGACGCAAAGAGATCATGCTTGGATTGAAACGGCTGCCTGGTACAAAGATATTCACATATTATACTTCTGTTTTCTCAGGGAGTGGTGATAGGTGAAGTTCTCAAGCTGTGGCTTGTAGCTATTTATTCAGTAAGATCTTTCTGCTTTTGCTCCAGTATATTAAAAAAAACTCACTAATAGCACAGAGGAATAGAAACACTGGTCTTTTGTTGGTTGCTACCAACATATTGTTATTTTATTTGTTTGGTTTACTGTCTTCTTTTGCTAATATTCTTAGATTTGATTAAGGAAGTACTGAGTATGGATGACGAAATTCAGAAACTAGCAACAGAACTTTATCATCAGAAATCAGTTCTGATAATGGGACGAGGCTATCATTATGCGACTTGTCTTGAAGGGGCACTGGTAAGTTTTCTCAGTTCTAATTAATATTAGTCCATTGACTTGCAGAACTGGCACATAGTTATTCTTTTACATTAAATGAATGAAATAGGTAGAACTTTTAAAAGTGCTTCTGTATTTATTCATCGTGGTTTGTTTACTTTAAAAAAGTGCAACAGAGAGCTCTGCTCAAAAGTGAAAATCAAAAAGAGTATATTTTAGCACGATAAACTTGGATTTTGCAAGTAACTTTGGTTAATTTGTTCAAATATGAATAAAGATTAAGTTCTCTAGATAAAAAATTTAAATTTAATTGAGGTCAGGCTGGACATAGCAGTTCATGTCTATAATCCCAGCACTTTGGGAGGATGTGGCAGGTGGATCACTTGAAGTCAGGAGTTCGAGACCAGCCTGGCCAACATGGTGAAACCCCATCTCTACTAATATTACAAAAAAATTAGCTGGATGTGGTAGCACATGCCTGTAATCCCAGCTACGTGGGAGACTGAGGCAGGAGGACCACTTGAACCTAGGAGGCACAGGTTGCAGTGAGCCAAGATTATACCATTGCGCTCCAGCCTGGGTGACAGACTGAGACTGCATCTCAGAATTTTTTTTTTTTTTTTTTGAGACAGAGTCTTACTCTGTCACCCATGCAGAAGTGCAGTGGTGCAATCTCAGCTCACTGCAATCTCTGCCTCCTGGGTTCAAGTGATTCTCCTGCCTCAGCCTCCTAAGTAGTTGGGACTGCAGGTACGTGTCACCACACCCAGCTAATTTCTTTTAAATTTTTAGTAGAGATGGAGTTTCACTGTGTTAACCAGGATGGTCTCAATCTCCTGACCTTGTGATCTACTTGTCTTGGCCTCCCAAAGTGTTGGAATTACAGGTGTGAGCCACCACGCCTGGCCAAAAAAAGTTATTTTAATTGAGGTTAAACATGAAGCAAGAGGGAGAAGAGTTACCAAGAAATATGAATATGTTCGTGATAATCTAAAATCTTTAAAAAGTCCTTGTAGAGCTTTAAAACTTCCAGTTACTTGTTGATCTTACAGAAATAGTTATCTATTAACTTGTTAGATATATTTATAGATCAGTGGTCCTTTAATACCTTTGGATAAATAGACAGTGGCTTGACATATCAGATGCTTTGTATAATATTTTCTTAAAGATAGATTTTTGAAAAGTGGACTGAAGACATATCTGGTTCTTTCCTATTAGAAAATCAAAGAAATTACTTACATGCACTCTGAAGGCATCCTTGCTGGTGAATTGAAACACGGCCCTCTGGCTTTGGTGGATAAGTTGATGCCTGTGATCATGATCATCATGAGAGATCACACTTACGCCAAGTGTCAGAATGCTCTTCAGCAAGTGGTTGCTCGGCAGGTAATTCGGGGGACTGTGAGTACACCTTGGGGATCAAAGAGGGCAGTTACGCTCGCTTATTTGAATGACTTGCAAAACATGTTTACATGTGTTAACTCATTTACTTTATAATACAGCCTTTGAGGTTTATGTGTGAGGAATCAGATACTTGGAGGGTTTTTTTTTTTTTTTTTTGAGACAGTCTTGCTCTGTTGGCCAGCCTAGAGTGCAGTGGTACAATCTTGGCTCACTGCAAGCTCCGCCTCCTGGGTTCCAGTGATTCTTCTGCCTCAGCCTCCCAAGTAGCTGGGATTACACGTGAATACCACCATGCCTGGCTAATATTGTATTTTTAGTAGAGATGGGGTTTCATGTTGGCCAGGCTGGTTTCAAACTCCTGACCTCAAGTGATCCACCCACCTCAACCTCCCAAAGTGCTAGGATTATAGGTGTGAGCTGCCATGCCCAACCCAGATACTTAGAGTTTTCAGAAGACCAAGGCCATAGATCTCATACTGGGCAGAACCAAACCAGAACTGAGGTCTTGGTCTCTACATCCTATCTTCTTTCAGTGAACATATGCTGCTGCTCCCTTTTAATTTAATACTTATAAAATATTTCACAATGTATTTTAAAATATTTTTAAATATATGTTTCAGCTGGGAGTGGCACGTGACTGTAGTCCCAGCTACTCTGTGGACTTAGGCAGGAGGATCACTTGAGCCCAGGAGTTTGAGTACAGCCTGGGTAAAGTAGTGAGACCCTATCTCTAAAAAAGTAAATAAAATTGAAAAAAGTCCGGATGCAGCAGCTCACACCTGTAATCCCAGCACTTTGGGAGGCCGAGGCAAGAGGATCGTGAGGTCAAGGGATTGAGACCATTTTGGCCAACATGGTGAAACCCCGTTTCTACTAAAAATACAAAAAATTAGCTGGGCGTGGTGGTGCATGCCTGTAGTCGCAGCTACTCGGGAGGCTGAGGCAGGAGAATTACTTGAAACCGGAAAACGGAAGTTGCAGTGAGCCAGGATTGCACCACTGCACTCCAGTGTGGCGATCAAGACTATGTCTCAAAAAAAAAAAAAAAAAAATTAAAGTAAAATTGCAAAAAAACAAAACAAAAAACATACACATGATATATTACAGGGGAAATCTAACATCTAGGTTTTATTTTAATATTACTGAGTTTTCTTCAGGTCAGTTGGCTTTATATATAAATTCTAAAAGATATTATATTCCCTAAGCACAATGTAGTAGTGATGAGCTTGAGGTTTGAAGTTAGGCAAACCTGCATTCAAGTCCTAAGCCTGGTATTTCTTAGTTGCATGAGTTTAAACAAATTACCAGATCCCATAAAGCTTCTGTTTCTTTGACTGTAAGTACTAACAATCAGATTTACTACATAGGAATTTAAAGAAGTCTGTCAGTCAGGTTGCATATGGATTACACAGTGCAATTTTTGCACATTCATAAACTATAGCCCTGCCTTTGCCTACCAGTGGTGTTATGTATGTGTGTGATTTTCTTTCCTAGGGGCGCCCTGTGGTAATTTGTGATAAGGAGGATACTGAGACCATTAAGAACACAAAAAGAACTATCAAGGTGCCCCACTCGGTGGACTGCTTGCAGGGCATTCTCAGTGTGATCCCTTTGCAGTTGCTGGCTTTCCACCTTGCTGTGCTGAGAGGCTATGATGTAAGTCATCTACCACTGCAGAAATCTTGGGATGTTTTTTACTTGGATACATTCTGATTTTTTTCTCCTAAATTTTTAGCAATGGTGTTTGAGAAATCTATCAAATATGTATCTGTCACCTGTTAAATTTTCATGGTCCAATTTGTAGGTTACATCACAACATTATCTTACCCATAGAACTTGAAGATACCTTGGGTTTCACCTCCAAGATTGTGAATCACCTTGAGGAATCTCCACCTGTTTTCTTACTGTAACTCCATGTCACTTAATAGGGCAGCTACTGGCATTTAGCAGGACAATTCTTTGTTGTTTGGAACTTTCCCACACATTGGAGACTTTTTAGCATTCCTGATTTCTCAGTCATTGTGGCAACCAAAACACTGTGTTTTTGTTTTTAGTGTCCCTTATGAGGGCTAGTACTTCTGTAGGGGACCACAGTACCTCTTTCTGTGTGAACTGGCACCTTTAGAATGCTTTTTCCTAACCAATTTCAGTTTTTTTCAGGACCATTATGTGGTTATGTTTTCTAATCTAATTCTTTGTAGTCTGTAATAAAGATGGTTAATTAACATACTGTTTTCTGTTTTTATAAACAAAAATAATTTGCTTATAGCAACCACCCCCTTCCCCAGTCTGTATAATCTCTCAAATCTTGCTTTTTTTTTTTTTTCCAGGTTGATTTCCCACGGAATCTTGCCAAATCTGTGACTGTAGAGTGAAGAATATAAAAAAATGTATGAAACTCTGTACGATTAAGCAACACAAGACACCTTTTGTATTTAAAACCTTGATTTAAAATATCATCCCTTGAAGCCTTTTTTAAGTAAATCCTTATTTATATATCAGTTATAATTATTCCACTCGATATGTGATTTTTGTGAAGGTACCTCTTATATTTTTCCAGTAATTTGTGGAGGACTTTGAATAATGGAATCTACATTGGAATTTGTATCAGAAAGATTTTAGCCATTATTTTCTTTAAAGAATGCTGGGTGTTGCATTTCTGGACCCTCCACTTCAATCTGAGAACACAGTATGTTTCTAAAATAATTGGTACTTGTTCCACTATACTTCATTCAGACCAATGAGAGTAATGCATTTAATTGGAATATCTAAAGCCAGTGGCAGTGTATGCTTGTATTTGGACAGTTAGGGAAGGTTTTGTGAAGTTATATAAAGAGGAGATGTGATTTATTTTGAAATTTGTTTCTGTTTTGTTTTTAAATCAAACTCTAAAACTTAAAACTGAAAAAATTTCTTGGTAGGATTTATATCTAAGTTTGGTTAGCCTTAGTTTCTCAGACTTGCTGTTTGTTACCTATAGATGGAGGAAATTTAGGAAGCAAAATATAGTAGTGCATTGGTGGTCTCCAATCCTTAACATATTTGCACAGTTTTATAGCACAAACTTTAAATTTGAGCTGCTTTGGACAACTGACAATATGATTTTAAATTTGAAGATGAGATATGTACATGTTGGGTGTTCTACTTCTTTTGTTTTCATCTCCTAAAATTGGTTTTTATTTCCTTGTATCTTTAGTCTTTTATTTTTAAAATGACTTCTGAATGATATAATTTTATCTTTTCTTTAAAATCACAACACAGAGCTGCTATTACATTAATATTGATATATTCAGTATTCTTTTCAACTTTGTTGCAAGGAAGAATTTCCTATAGTTAATTTTAACTTTCCTTCACTGCATTGTTGTGTAAAACTAGTCCCTTAATGCCAGTTTGGAAGTTATTTGCAATTGTTTGGAAGATGTGCAAGTCGTTGACCTCATCATTTTCCTGTAAGTATATGTGGTAGGCTAGGCTCAGAAAAAGGTATGTATGCTCTACACTGAAAGGCACCAAATTTCATATTACATCCTAGGTATTTTTTCTCTGTATTTTCTGTGCTCTTCTCCTGAAATATACTTAGGAATAAAGAAGATATAAATAGAATAATACTGGGGTATGTTCAGCTTGTGGGTGTCAGAAATGGAAGTTGACAATTTGGATTAAAATATTTAAAGTAGAATGTTATTATTAGATACCCCCAAAATCGTGAGTAATAATTTCTTCATGGAGCTTTTCTGGCCAGATCTTCGGGGCTATAGGAGAGTGCGTTTGTTTTTGGTTAAGTTCTTCTTTTTCAAAGGTTTTTACTTTTAAATTGTGAAGGCGAACTATTTAATAGCACAATTAGTTAAGTAAGCTAAGTCTTTTCCTTTCTGTTTTTTGGTGTTTGAACTTCTCGGTGAGGTTAAGATTTTCTAATAGCTATTGCTGTTGCCGGAGAAGCATAGATTTCTGCTTGTGTATTAGGGTTAGAGAAAGATTTGGTGTATTTTGAGGTAATTTGGAAGGACTTTCATAGATGGTGACTAGAAACCTGATCTTTTTAAGAATAAAATAGGGTTACTATTTATATTACTTATATATAGCTATTATAGCTATATTAATCTACTTTAATTGTTTCTAAGATTATTTTTTGTAAGTCAGCGAGTTTAAATGTGTGTATAGTGTCTTTTCTTCTCTTTGGTATATTAATAAATATGATTTGTGTGGGTTTGTAGCATTTCTTTTTCTTTTCTTTTTTTTTGAACAATCTCACTCTGTCATCCAGGCTGAAGGGCCGTGATGCAGTCTTGGCTCGTTGCAACCTCTGCCTCCTGAGTTCAAGCAATTCTTCTGTCTCAGCTTCCTGAGTAGTAGAGGTTAAAGGTGTGTATCACCACACCTGGCTAATTTTTGTGTTTTTAGTAGATATGGGGTTTCACCATGTTGGCCAGGCTGGTCTCAAACTCTTGACCTCAAGTGATCCACCCGCCTTGGCCTCCCAGAGCACTGCGATTACAGGCATGAGCCACTGTGCCCAACCTGTAGCATTTCTTATAGTTTAAAGTTTGATTCAGCATTCTAAGTTAAAACCAATAAGTGAAATCAGTCATTAGTGTGCATAATCTCTATGTCTCTCCCTCTGTGTGTGTCTTTCATTAAAGCACATGTGTACACACACAACATACTGAAAGCTAGTGTAAGTGCTAAACTGAATATCAAAAACCAAAATTAAGAACAAAGAAGTGATATTTTCCAAACAAACATGGATTATCTGCTGGGTGCAGTGGCTCAGCCTGTAATACCAGCCTGCACTTCGGGAGGCCTAGGTGGGAGGGTCACTTAAGCCCAAGAGTTTGAGAACAGCCTGAGCAACATGGTGACACCTGGTATCTACAAAAATTTTTTAAAAAAGTTGGCTGTACCTGGTGGCTTGCACCTGTAGTCCCAGCAATTTGGGATGCTTACATGGGAGGATCACTTGAGCATGGGAGGTGGAGACTGCAGTGAGCTGTGATTGTGCCACTGTGCTCTAGCTTCAGTGACAGAGTGAGACCCTCCTTACTCAAAACAAAAAACATGGTTTCTCCTCTCTCTCCTGTCTTCTTGCTTTCTATCCTATTTGATGTAGTGTTTTTTAAATGCTTTTATAAATTAGTTCTTAACACAAAAGAGACATTGTAGTGAGGCAAACCACTAAGTGAGCTTGCCCAGTTAAAACCAGTGTAATACAGGATAAGAAAATCTGATTTTTCAAAAAAGATACTCTACATAAGTTCTTCATATACAAAGTTTTTTCTTGTAATACATTTAAAGTTTTAATTCACTCAGATATAACGGAGAGATCCTTACCCTCTGAGCCCTTTTTAGGCAGGGGAACATGTCTGCCATTTAGCATGTGGCCCAGTAAATGATTATTACATTGCAATCAATTTTTCAATCTTTTTTTTAAAAAATTATATGCCATAATATAATAACCTAAAAATAGTGAACATTAATTTTACATAGAAAAATTAATGTTCACTATTTTTAGGTTATTATAACTATGTCAACAAGTATTAATACCTATTACGGGCAAGTCACTGTGGCAGGCATTGAAAATTACATCATCTTTAAAGCAGTATTTCTCCCCTTATTGGCTCATCACTAGCAAAGACTAGGTTCACTGGAAGGCACAGGGTGAGATAATGGGAAGATGGAGTGGAGGTGGGTTGTTAAAGTGCTGTGAGTGAGTGATTTTTTTTACTTGAATAGTGATCCATGTTTGGGGATATATTGTGTTTTTAAGAAGTGAAAGGTATTTGGGAAGTGAGCTGTAAATGGCCCATAAATCTGTTACAACAGTCCTTAATACGCAAAGATGAAAAACAAGTATTACTGCTACCCAAAGGGAACTGACGTTTGGTGATGTGCAGATGGGGCTGTTGGTTAAGAGAGCTAATACAGATTTTCTCTGTTAGGTTTCACAGGAGGTAGTTTCTGAGATGAGATTGTTTTATTTTTTTGAATACAGATGTCTTGTCCTGAGTTCTGAGGATGGGAGGACAGGAGTCTTTTTTTTTTTTTTTGTGGAGGGGGGGGCTCCTTAGTAATACTCCTCTGACATTTATTTCTATTATTCTTTAAAGAAAGAAAACCAAATGAAATGTTTGCTTTAACAAACATTTTAAAAAGTTCTTTGGGTTGATTTTTTTCTCCTTTTAAAAAAATTTAGGATATACCATAGCAATAAAATAACTAATGTTAACTATTGTATGCTACAACGTAGGTGATTTTTCTAAAGAAGCACAATGCCATTGAAAAGTATTATTGAAAAGGATCATAGTTCACATTGAATTTGTGAAGGCCAAAGAAATTGAAAGGAGTGTGATATTTTCATTTTATGATATTAACATATTTAGTAAATTTTGTGTTCAAGAATACCTGGCAGAGTGTTTTATCCATGGAAACAGGTTTCAGATTACTTTTTTTGTATTGTTAAAGTCTCAAGTTTAGAAATGTTAACATTTAAATCAGTTTTTTTTCTCACTATACTTAAAAATTGTTAATATTTTGATAACTTCCTAGCTTGATGAATTTAAACATATCTTCAGATGTGTGACAGTTACAACCAATAAGACTGATAATATTAGCTTCAAACCAGTAATATCCAAGGTTAAAAATCATAGTGAAAGCACGATTGTAAAATTATGCCATATTAACTTTTAAGTCTGTAATAGCTTGATATCAAAATGTTATGTAGTATGCCATAAATAATGGCTAACGAGAACATCTTTGGAAATTCTCAAATTACCTTTCTTACTACACTGTTTTCAGAATGAATGTAGAAATGATTCTGTTAGATTTTTGAATGTTCTGTGGTTGAATGTGTTTTTGCTTAAATAAAGCTTTTGGTATTTGTTTAAATTACACTTCTTGTGAGGTGGAAATTTTAGAATCATCTTTGCTTTGTTTCAGTTTTGTGTTTTTGAAATGAATATTTACTTTACTGAGCCAGTTGGTCATTTCTTCCCCGAGTCTTGTTAAGTCCAGTGACTAAGCCTGAACTGTGAATAAATTACCAAAAACTTGCTTAGAATTTCATTTTGAGGCAATTTGCTAATATTTGAAGCGTCTATATATTTGTAGTCATGTTAAAAATTGTATTGTACTAAGAATGTATTCAATGTCTACTTTAGTTGTGAATATTTCTGATGTCAAAACTTTATTTGTTATTGTTGATTTTAAGAATAAGAAATCACTGCCTAAATATTACCAAAAAAGCCACGTCTTTACCCCAACTTCTCAGTTTGGGAAAGAATCACTAGATAAAACAAAGGCTCTGCCCTTTCTGATACCACACTCCATAGATATTTTTTCACATCTTTTTAAACATTTTGCAGTAATACGTTGTCTATAGGAAGTTTACGGGATATGCAATGATTAAAATTTTTAAGTGAATTGATAGTTGCAAAAGAAGGATAATCTAAAGTTTCTGTAGCAAGACAGTCTAAAGTTTCCGTAATATCTGGCACTCTTAATTATAAAGCAAAGATTCCCTTACAGAATCCTTTTATGAACGGCAAGGTAGAGTCTATCCCTAGTGGTTATGGCACTTGCTTTGTTTTTCAGGAGACAGTTATGGCAGAGTGATTTGAATTGATAGATGTACTGTTTTGCCTGCTTATAGATCAGCCCAGTCTTTGGTCTCTCTCTGTGTTTCTCTCTCCTTTGCCTCTCCCTCTGTCTTCTTCTGCAGCAGAGCCTAAGGCTGCCCCACTAGCGTGTCATTTTTTCCAAAGCCTACATTTTTGACATAAAATTCAGCTTTACTTCTAGTGAACAGTTTTCTTTAAATTCTTCCCACTTCGCTCTCAGTAAGTACTGAGTGCTTGCTAAAAGCCAAGAAATGATTTCCCTAAAAATTAAGCAGCTGCTTTTCATTGAAGTGGCATTTAGAGAAAAGTAAATTCTTTTTTTTTTTTTTTGAGACAGAGTTTCGCTCTTGTTACCCAGGCTGGAGTGCAATGGCACGATCTCGGCTCACCGCAACCTCCGCCTCCTGGGTTCAGGCAATTCTCCTGCCTCAGCCTCCTGAGTACCTGGGATTACAGGCACACGCCACCATGCCCAGCTAATTTTTTGTATTTTTAGTAGAGACAGGGTTTCACCATGTTGACCAGGATGGTCTCGATCTCTTGACCTCGTGATCCACCCGCCTCGGCCTCCCAAAGTGCTGGGATTACAGGCTTGAGCCACCGCGCCTGGCCCAAAAAGTAAATTCTTTAACTTGTTTGGATGAGAGAAAAAAGTAAAGGTTAAGTTTCTCT